CGCATGAGGCCACCCGCCCACACCAGCCCAGGAAGTCACGGAGCCTGGAACCTGTGGGAACGGACACGGCCCTTGCCTGCCCGCTCCCCTTGGGGGTTGAGGGTAAGGAGGTCGTGTGCATGCAATGGCCATGTCAATTACACCACTCCACTGATGGGGACCATCATTCCCATCATGATTCGTCTTCACCACTAAGGATTGAACAACGATTCTAGCAACGTCTTCAGGCGGGACACACCACAGCAAACTCAGTACAAACACCATTCTTTCACTGGACCAAAGAGCCCTGCCCACGTTCCTGATGGATAGAGACAGGAGAGAGGACAGGCTGCTTTCAGCCAGCAGGTGGGTGACAATAGCGGCTGGGACAGTCTGTTTCTTTAGACTAGGAGAGCCTGGGAGACAGAGGACCCTGAGGCTGTCCCGGCAGGCAGTTCCCCAGATACTAGGGCCTGGCTGCTGCTTCCCGAGGGAGGCATCTGTCCTGGAGACTCATCCTGGGGTGCCACACTGAGGCCAGCTGTGCCCCCACACCCTCTGCCTCCAGGGCTCAGTGTCTCCAGGCCTGAGTGTCTCTAGGGCTCAGAGTCTGCAGCAGCCCCGGGTGGGCCCGTGTCCCAGCCCCGCCGCCTCCCTCCCCCGCTGTGCCTTGTCTCAGCAACGTGGCTCACACAGTTCCTCCTTACACTGGGTGTTGTCTCCTTCCCCAACACCGACACGTGTTGAAGGGAGGAGGTTCTGTGCCTCCTAGACTGGCTCCTCTGAGCCTCAACCTGGCTTGTGGCAGGTGCAGGTTCCTGGTGTCCGGCTGCGCCCGGGCCTCCCTTTCCAGACCCTCCTGCTCTCCTGGTGTCTGCCAGGCGGTCAGCATGTTCTTCTGCGGCTGTGCTCCCCGCCACGTCCAGCCACTTGTGTCTTCTCTGCCCACTAGGGTCTCGGGGATTTTATAGGCACAGGATGGGTGTGCAGTGGCCAGGTGGTCTTGGGAAATGCAACATTTGGGTATGAAGGTAGGAGCGCCTGTCCTCACCTGGGTCTGTGGGCACAGGCCGGGGCTGGAGCCCTCGCCAGGGACCCACCATTCTATGCCCAGCACTTCCCTGCCCCCTCCCTCTGGAGCACAGGGTGGCAGTTTCCACAAGAGCTAAGCATCCTCTTGCCAAGAGACCCAGCAGTCACACTCCTGGGCACTGATCCCAGAGCCCTGGGAATTCACATGATCATGCACGTTGTGCACAAACTCGCACCCACAACCGACCACAGCAGTTGGAAGGGCTGCGAAGTGGGGAAAGGGCTGCTGAAACGTCCTTGGACAAAATGCTTAAACAGACTGGCCCATCTGTGCCGTGGACAGTTGCTCAGCAGTGACGAGAACACGCCATTCATGAATGCAGGAAGTTCCTGGTTTTAACGGAGTATTGGCTTAGTTATGGGGGACGTAACCATCGGGTATGGGGATGGGAGAACCCAGACGATGTGCCACCTTTGCCACACCCAAGTGTCCTGGGCAGGATAATGACCCAGAGATGCCGGCGTCCTGATGGACAGAACCCGCCCGGCCCTGGAACCATCCAGCATCATTCGGGATTACACGAAGGCCAGAAAAGTAATCCAGGGGTTCTGGGAGGAGGCGGGCATCAGGGTTGGGGGGCGGTGGCCAGGATGATGGAGGCAGAGTCAGTCACAGGCTGAAGAGGGAGGAGAGACCTCAAGCCCAGGCCTGTGAGCACCTTGGGAAGCTGGAAAAGGCAGGGAAGGGACCCTCCGCGGGGTCTGCAGCAGGAAGGCACAGCTTACCTTTAGCCCACCAGGGCCCATCGTGGACCTCTGGCCTCCACATGGTAGGAGGGCACTCTCGATGTAGAAGGGCACCCATGCTGCAGGAGGGCACCATCGCTGCAGGAGGGCACCCATGTTGTAGGAGGGCGCCCTCACCTTAGGAGGGCGCTCACGCCGTGGGAGGGCACCCACGCCCTCGCCTAAGGAGGGCACTCACGCCGTGGGAGGGCACCTGCACCTTCTAGCACAAAGCGTGTGGGGATTTGCAGCAGCAACAGGAAACCCAAGCGCTGCGGACCTGGGATTATTTCAAAACAAAAGTTTACAGAAACGTCCGAGGACAGAGCTGAAGTGCCTTTGGGAAAGGAAAGGGCAGGCTTGAGTGATTTATTTAGCCATTGTATTTTATTTATTTACTTAGTTTTTGAAACAGTTTCACTCTTGTTGCCCAGGCTGGAGTGTAGTGGCGGGATCTTGGCTCATTGCAGCCTCTGCCTCCTAGGTTCAAGTGATTCTCCTGCCTCAGCCTCCCAAGTAGCTGGTATTACAGTCGCCACCACCATGCTGGCTAATTTTGTAATTTTAGTAGAGCTGGGGTTTCATCATGTTGGCCAGGCTGGTATTGAACTCCTGACCTCAGGTGATCTGCCCACCTCGGCCTCCCAAAGTACTAGGATTATGGATGTGAGCTACCTGGCCTATTGAACCATTTTGAAACGTCACTGGGCTCAAGTCACACCCACTGGTCGGGAGTTTATGGAGTTCAGTTTCCCCTTTACTCAGGAAGTTGCCCTTTGATATTTTCTGTAATTCCTCATAGACGGGATACACTGTCTCTTGACGTATCCACAGTTTCTGTGACCACTTGTTATGCTGTGGGACCCAATGCAGGGGCCGTGATGCCCCCACCCTTCCAGTGGCTGGGGGGGCTGCAGGCCTCAGGTCCCAGCAGGGTCACCGTCTGCCAGGAGGAAGCCAATGTAGAATCAGGGTGCAAGTGTGGACACCATCCTGAGTCTCAACGACTCAGTGTGTGCTGAGACATTGAAATTAAAGTAGAAATTAAAGTCCATTCTGCCTACTCTACTGGTATTGAGCCCCTTCCCTGTCCCCTCAGGGGCGGACGAGCTCCTCTCACTCCTTCTGTGGAAGAAGGAACAATTTACTTTGTTATTTTTCACTGCTGGTACAGAATCCGCTCTGTCTTTGTTTCAGATGGAGTTTCACTCTTGTTGCCCAGGCTGGAGTGCAATGGCGTCATCTCGGCTCACTGCAGCCTCTGCCTCCCAGGTTCAAGCGATTCTTCTGCCTCAGCCTCCCAAGTGGCTGGAATTACAGGTGCCTGTTACCACACCCAGCTAATTTTTTTGAATTTTTAGTAGACACAGGGTTTCACCATGTTGGCCAGTCTGGTCTTGAACTCCTGACCTCAGGTGATCCACCTGCCTTGGTGTCCTGAAGTGCTGGGATTACAGGCGAGAGCCACCGCACCCGGTCTCTTAGAACATCTTAATGTTTTACATTGTGATGACTAAGACATCATCAGCTTTTCAAAGATAGACTAACCGCACCCGTAATACTGGGGCATCTTCGATTTTCATTGAAAGCTGGGAGACGTTTCCTCACCAGGGACATGGTGTTAATTATTCCAGTGTAATCTTCTGCCTGAGTTTCTTCTATTCCCTCTTTTAAAATTAGGTTTTCTGTGTTGGTTTCTCTGGGGGGACCAGAGTAAGCTACAACTTGACTTTTGTTGGAACAAATTTTCCACAAGAGCCCCTTTGCCCGAGTGGCAGAGACAATTCACAAACACAGCCCTTTAAAAAGGCTGCGGGTTCACTAAGGGGATTTCTAGAAGAGCGACCCGGAATCCTAAGTATTTACAAGGTGAGCCGAACCCCTAGCGAGTGTGACGGCTCAGGCAGGGCGCCAGGCCTGTTCAAATGCTAGGTCCATAAATAAAGCAATTTCCGCCGACACTTTCGGAAAGTGGGAAAGGTTACATTGAAGGTTGCATCTGTTAGCATTTCAGTGTTTGCCGACCTCAGCTACACCCTCCCCGCAAAGCCTCCGGAGACCCAGAAGTTTCTTGCCTCTTAGATCCAAACTTGAGCAGCCAGAGTTGGGGTTCGGGGAAGTCCTCGGCTGTGCCCGGGCCCTAGGTCTGCAGGGGCCCAGCGGCGGCGTGCCTTCCACAGCTGGGCTGGAGGTCGGGCCTTCTGGCTCAGCTGTAGCCAGATGCCCGGACCCCCGAGGCTGCCCTCCTCCCACTGTGGGCGGGAGTGACCGGAGTTTGGCCTCAGCTGGTAGACACGGCGCCGGGGCCCAGGGTAAAGGCAGCTGCGGCAGGTGTGAGGCACCCAGTGCCGGGCCAGAGGAGTACCTGACTCCATGTCCCACCCTTCCTCGACGGGACCGCCCCGGTGGGTGATGAACAGATCTGGGGTGGTTTGCTCGTGGTGGGGACCCCTCGACGCCTGAGAACCTGCAAAGAGAAAAGGAGAGGAGACCAAGTCACGGGGAAGTATTGCCCGCGGGTAGGGAGGCGCTCCGGGAGCCCCGCGTGCCCGTCCGGGGAGCGCTGCGCCCTGGGGGTCCTCCCCTGGCACCCTGCGTTCCCAGTGCCGGGGGCCCGCCGCCTGCTCCTTCCCGACGCCCCCCGTCAGGACCGGGGGACAGCCCTGGCTCTCGGGGTCAGGCCCATCTGGGAAATCGATGAAGGGAGCGCCGCGCGCACCTGTGCCCAGGGCCATCGCCCCTGCCTCGGGTTACCCCGCGCCTGGGCTAACGCCACCCGTCTCTGCGGGGCCCTCGCTGGGGTCCCTGCACCCTGCGAGCGGGGGCGGCGCGCGGGCGGGAAGCGCGGCCCAGACCCCCGGGTCCGCACGGAGCAGCTGCGCGGTCGAGGCCAGGCCGGGCTCCCGGTGGATTCGCGGGCGCAGACGCCCGGGGCCGCGCTGCCCGCGTGGCGGAGGGAGAGGGACCCAGGCTCCCCAAACCCTGCCCGCCCCGGCCCTCACCTTCCAGCTCCGCCGACTCCGCGCGGACCCCGCCTCCGTCCCGTCCCCTCCCTGGTCCCCGGCCCCGCCCCCGCCGCCCCTCTCCGCCCCGCCCCTCCCCCGCAAGCCCCCGCCAGCCCCGCCCCTTACTCTCCAGCCCCGCCCCTTCCTCTCCGCGGCCCCGCCTTCTCTCGGGGCGCAGGTTGGAGGCTGCCCGCGCTGCGTCCTGCTGCGCACGTGGGAGGCCGCGCTCCTGGCCCTGCAGTCCACCGCGATGCCGCGCGCGCCACGCTGCCGAGCCGTGCGCTCCCTGCTGCGCAGCCGCTACCGCGAGGTGCTGCCGCTGGCCACGTTTGTGCGGCGCCTGGGGCCCGAGGGCCGGCGGCTCGTGCAGCGCGGGGACCCGGCGGCTTTTCGCGCGCTGGTGGCGCAGTGCCTGGTGTGCCTGCCCTGGAACGCACGGCCGCCCCCCGCCGCCCCTTCCTTCCACCAGGTGGGCCGCCCGGGGTCCGCGTCCGGCGGTGGGGGGGGGGGGGTGGGAGCGGAGCGGCGCGCGCACCCCCGGCGGGCGACTCAGGGCGCTTTCCCCGCCCGCAGGTGTCCCCCCTGAAGGAGCTGGTGGCCCGGGTGCTGCAGAGGCTATGCGAGCGTGGCGCGAGGAACGTGCTGGCCTTCGGCTTCGCGCTGCTGGATGGCGCCGGCGGCGGCCCCCCCGAGGCCTTCACCACCAGTGTGCGCAGCTACCGGCCCAACACGGTGACCGAGACGCTGCGCGGCAGCGGGGCGTGGGCGCTGCTGCTGCGCCGCCTGGGCGACGACGTGCTGGTTTACCTGCTGGCGCACTGCGCGCTCTACGTGCTGGTGGCTCCCAGCTGCGCCTACCAGGTGTGCGGGCCGCCGCTGTACGAGCTCCGCGCTGCCCCCGAGCCCCAGCCCGCGCCACACGCGGCTGGGACGCGAAGGGGTCTGGGACGCGAACGGGCCTGGAGCAGCAGCGTCAGAGAGCCCGGGGTCCGCCCGGGCCTGCCAGCCCCGGGTGGGAGAAGGCGCCGGGGCAGTGCCAGTGTAAGTCCACCGTGGCCCAAGAGGCCCAGGTGTGGGCCTGCCCCGGAGCCGGAGCCGACGCCTGTAGGGCAGGGATCCCGGGCGCACCGGGGCAGGGCGCGTGGACCGAGCGGCCATGGTTTCTGCGTGGTGTCACCTGCCGGAGCCGCCAAGAAAGCCCCTGGCTCATGCCACTCGTACCCATCAGCGGGCCGCCAGCCTGCGGCGGGGCCCCCATCCACATCGCGGTCACCGCAGCCCCGGGACACGCGTTGTCCCCTGGTGTATGCCGAGACCAAGCACTTCCTCTACTCTTCGGGTGCCCAGGAGCGGCTTCGGCCCTCCTTCCTACTGAGCGCCCTGCGCCCCAGCCTGACAGGCGCCCGCAGGCTCCTGGACACCATCTTTCTGGGTTCGAGGCCAGGGACGCCCCGCAGGCTGCCCCGCCTGCCCCAGCGCTACTGGCAGATGCGGCCCCTGTTTCTGGAGCTGCTCGGAAACCACGCGCGTTGCCCCTACGGGGCGCTCCTCAAGACGCACTGCCCGCTGCGGACTGCGGTCACCCCAGCGGCCCGAGTCTGTGCCCAGAAGCCCCTGGGCTCTGTGGCAGCCCCCGAGGAGGAGGACACAGACCCCCGTCGCCTGGTGCAGCTGCTCCGCCAGCACAGCAGCCCCTGGCAGGTGTACGGCTTCCTGCGGGCCTGCCTGCGCCGGCTGGTGCCCCCCGGCCTCTGGGGCTCCAGGCACAACGAGCGTCGCTTCCTCAGGAACACCAAGAAGTTCATCTCTCTGGGGAAGCATGCCAAGCTCTCGCTGCAGGAGCTGACCTGGAAGATGAGAGTGCGTGACTGCACTTGGCTGCGCAGGAGCCCAGGTGAGGAGGGGGTGGCCGTCGAGGTCCCAGGTCCCAGGGCTCAGTGCAGTAGGCGCTCAGAAAAGGGGGCAGGCAGAGCCCTGGTCCTGTGGTCTCCATCATCACGTGGGCACACGTGGCTTCCTGCTCAGGGCGTCGAGTGGACGTGGTGATTTCTGCCTCTGCTGTCCTGTCCAGTTTGCATAAACCTATGAGGTTCACCTTCAGGTTTTTTATGGACATGCATTTCCAGGCGCTGAGGCTGGATCAGTGAACGGATGGGGCGGGGTGTGCTGTGGAGCTGGGGTGCTGGCCATGGGGGGAAGCGGGTGGAAGCAAAGACACTCTTGGCAGGGTGCCTGCGGGTTACCTATAATCCCCTTCGCGATTTCAAGGATCGAAACGGGAGCTGAAGACAAAAACTCCCTCTTCCTGGGGGTGGGAGGGAAGGGTTTTGCATGTGCACATGGTCAGCCACTATGCAGGTTTGTATTTAAGATTTAATTGTGTTGATGGCCAGGTTCGGTGGCTCACGCCTGTTATCCCAGTGCTTTCGGAGGCGGAGGCAGGTGGATCACCTGAGGTCAGGAGTTCGAGACCAGCCTGGCTAACATGGCGAACCCCCATCTCTACTAAAAATACAAAAATCAGCTGGGCATGGTGGCGTATGCCTGTAATCCCAGCTACTCAGGAGGCTGAGGCAGAAGATCGCTTTAACTCGGGAGGTTGCAATGAGCTGAGATGGCGCCATTGCATTCCAGCCTGGGCGACAAGAGTGAAACTCTGTCTCAAAAACAGAACAAAACAAAAAAATGGTGCGTTGATTCTGCCAGGACCGGGTAGAGGGAGGGAGATGAGGCTGTCCTCCAGCACAGGCCCTGGTCCTCTCTGTGCAAATGAAGAGGAAGAGGGCCACGTGGGAGCAGAGGACCGCAGATGGCTGCACCTGCTCAGGGAAGGGATAGCGCTGTGGGTGTTCGGGGGACAGTGCTGCTGGGCCCTGCCGTGTCCCCGCTCTGTTTTTCTGGATTTGATGTGGGGGCACCTCTGCCCCACCCCACTGTTGGCTCCCAGCACTCCCAGGCCCTGCAGTGGCAGCCAGAACGGGTTCCGATACCCCCTCCCCACAAACTCCCAAGACATGGAAGACTTCCAGAAGTCTGGCCGTGGCAGAGACCACGTCTGCAGAGCTGTCTGCCCGCCCTGGCTGCTCATTAGAGTCGCCTGTGGTGGGGGCTTTCATTTCTGGTCCCGTTCCGAAAGACCCTTGTGGCAGCAGCCCGTGCAGCTGTTCTCCCAGCACTGCGGCATGGTGGGTGCGTGGCTTTCTGTGGCCGAGCCACTGTTCAGGTTCCCTCAGGGTCCTGGGGCTGGCCGTGCAGACGAGGAGGGTGACCACCTTCCTGGGGCTCTTTTTTATGATGGCAAAAGTCATACAACATGAGATTGGCCCTCCTAACACGATCTTGTGTGTACAGTGCAGAATTGCTAACTTGGCCCAGTGTCCACAGCAAGTCATTCAAACTGCTGCGTCTTGCGTGACTGAAAGTCCCTAACCTGTTGAACAGCCGTTGCCTGCCACGTGCTGTGGCTCAGGTGGCCACACCGAGTTGGATAAGCGGTCATGCTACGTGTTCTTGCTTTTCGAGTTCTAGCTTCCTTCGGGGAGGAGAGTTTGAGTGCTCGGGACAGGAATCTGCCTGCCATCAGTGCTGTTCTCTGATTTTAGATGAGGTCACAATCTGCCCCTGGCTTGTGCAGGGAGTGAGGCCCCGTCCCGGGTGTCCCCGTCGTGTGTGGGGTGAGTGAGCTTCGGTCCCGGGTGTCCCCGTCGTGTGTGGGGTGAGTGAGCTTCGGTCCCGGGTGTCCTTGGCTTTTGCTCTCTTGCGCTGTGCTCCTGTGCATCTGCTGTTTCTGTGGCCTCAGCCACGCCAATTGCCTGTCGCCTGGATAAATGATGCAGGCACCGTGCTGGTCCCCAAGCCTGTCTTTTTTCGTCCTGGGCTCTTCTTGGTCACTTTGTCCTTCCCCGTTGCTGCCGGGACACAGGACTCTGCAGGCTCTCACTTTTCCCCTGCCTGGCGCTGCAGCCACAGCTTCAGGTCCGGCTTGCCTCTGTCTGGCCTGGCTTGCCCACCCCCGTTCCCGCCACACGCTTGCTGCCAGTATCCCTCTCCCAGCTCTCCCCATGCCGAGGCTGGACTGCCAGGCTGCCTGTGTCTGCTGCCAGGTGTTGCTGGAGACATCCCAGAAGGGTTCTCTGTGGCCAGAAGGAAAGCAGGCACCTCAGCCCCTCACTTGTCCTGTTTTCTCCCAAGCTGCCCCTCCGCTCAGCCCCCCTTGGGTGGGCGGCAACCCTTGTTACCTTATTCTGGGCACCTTTGGCGTGTTGCTGAGGCTGGGCTCTGCCTCCAGTCACCCCTCACGTGGACTGACATCCAGCCACAGGTTGCAGTGTCTCCATCCGTGTCCTGCTCTGAGACCCACATCGAGCGCCAGTGTCTCAGCCCGGCTTCGTCAGACTTAACTCTGGGTCTTTGTTTTGAATTTCACTAATTTACCTCTGATGTTTTGATCTTTGCAGTGGATGCTTTCCTTTGGTTTATTCTTTCCTTCCTTTTCTAACTTCTTAGTTTAGCTATGCATTTCCCTCTAAGTGCTGCCTTAGCTGCAGCCTGCACTTTGATGTGAAATAATGTTGACTTCAGCCACTTTTAGGAGTTCTTAAAATACCTAATAGTGTTAATACTTTTAAGTATTCTTATTCTTTGATTTTTTGTTTGTGCACCCTGTATTTTGATGTGAAGTAATTTTGATATCAGACCCTTTTAAGTATTGTTTAGCTTATTCTGTTATTTCTTTGATCGGTGAGTTATAAGAATATTGTCCAGATACATAGAGTATTTTAAGTTATGTTGTTATTGATTTCTAACTCAGTTGTCTAGTGGTCTGTATAATACCAATTAATTTGAGGTTTGTGGAGACTTGCTTTGTGATCTAGTGTGTGAGTGGCTACCAGAAATGTCCATTGTATACCTGACATCCTGTAGATAGTGACCATGTTCACCATATCCAGCTGATTAAGGTCCTGCATAAAACTTCTGTCTCCTTCTAGATGCATGAAATTGCAAGAGGGAGGCCAAGTCCCTCACCTGGGGGATGGGTCTGTTCATTTCTTCTTGTTTGATGGCATTTATGTGGGGCATTAGGTGCGTGCACGTGGTAGAATTTCTGTCTTCCTGATGAGTGAATCTCTTGTAGACTTCTCTGTCTCTAGTAATCTCCTAACTCTCTTTGTGAATTGCTCTTAGTGCTGCCACCCTGTGCTTCTTTTGATTAGTATTTTCCTGCTGTGTTGGTTTTCTGTCTTTAATTTATATTTTCCTTTTCTTTCTTTCTGTTTTTTTTTGTTTGGTTGGTTGGTTTTTTTTTTTTTTTTTTTTTTTTTGAGACAGAGTCCTGCTCTGTTGCCCAGGGTGAGTGCAGGAACACAGTCATGGTTCACTGTAGCCTTTACCTCCTGGCCTGAGGGACCCTCTCACTGTAGCTTCCTGAGTAGCTAGAACTACAGACATGCACCACTACACTTAGCTAATTTTTAAATTTAATTTTTTTCTGGAGACAGGGTCTTGCTGTGTTGCCCAGGCTGGTCTCAAAGTTTTGAAATCAAGGGATCCACCCACCTTGGCTTCCCAAAGTGCTGAGTTACAGGCATGAGCCACTGTGCCTGGCCTAATCTTCAACACTTTTTTGTTTTTATAGTGTAGGTGTGTCTTATTAACAGCACGCTGGTGAATTTCCAGTCCAGTTGCACAATGTTTGTTTAGCTGGATAACTTGATTTGTTTTCATTGTTCGTCACTAGAGACCTGTCTCTGCACTTTGATTTTCCATTTGTCTTTCCGTGTTCTCATTCCCTGCTTCTTGGCTTCCTGCTGAGGGCGCTCTTCCTGCTGAGTTTGTACTTCCTGTGCTTCCGAGGGCTCATTTCCTGCTGAGTCTGCACTTCCTGCGCTTCTGAGGGCGCTCTTCCTGCTGAGTTTGCACTTCCTGCACTTCCGAGGGCTCATTTCCTGCTGAGTCTGCACTTCCTGCGCTTCTGAGGGCGCTCTTCCTGCTGATCCTGCACTTCCTGTGCTTCCGAGGGCTCATTTCCTGCTGAGTCTGCACTTCCTGTGCTTCTGAGGGCGCTCTTCCTGCTGATCCTGCACTTCCTGTGCTTCCGAGGGCTCATTTCCTGCTGAGTCTGCACTTCCTGCGCTTCTGAGGGCGCTCTTCCTGCTGAGTTTGTACTTCCTGCGCTTCCAAGGGCTCATTTCCTGCTGAGTCTGCACTTCCTGTGCTTCTGAGGGCGCTCTTCCTGCTGAGTTTGCACTTCCTGCACTTCCGAGGGCTCATTTCCTGCTGAGTCTGCACTTCCTGCACTTCTGAGGGCGCTCTTCCTGCTGATCCTGCACTTCCTGTGCTTCCAAGGGCTCATTTCCTGCTGAGTCTGCACTTCCCGCGCTTCCGAGGGCGCTCTTCCTGCCGAGCCTGCACTTCCTGTGCTTCCGAGGGCTCATTTCCTGCTGAGTCTGCACTTCCTGCGCTTCTGAGGGCGCTCTTCCTGCTGATCCTGCACTTCCTGTGCTTCCGAGGGCTCATTTCCTGCTGAGTCTGCACTTCCTGCGCTTCTGAGGGCGCTCTTCCTGCTGAGTTTGTACTTCCTGCGCTTCCAAGGGCTCATTTCCTGCTGAGTCTGCACTTCCTGCGCTTCTGAGGGCGCTCTTCCTGCTGATCCTGCACTTCCTGTGCTTCCGAGGGCTCATTTCCTGCTGAGTCTGCACTTCCCGCGCTTCCGAGGGCGCTCTTCCTGCCGAGCCTGCACTTCCTGTGCTTCCGAAGGCTCATTTCCTGCTGAGTCTGCACTTCCTGCGCTTCCGAGGGCGCTCTTCCTGCCGAGTCTGCACTTCCTGCGCTTCCGAGGGCTCATTTCCTGCCGACTCTGCACTTCCTGCGCTTCCGAGGGCTCATTTCCTGCTGAGTCTGCACTTCTTGTGCTTCCGAGGGCTCGTATCCTGCCAAGTCTGCGCTTTCTGCGCTTCCGAGGGTGCTCTTCCTGCTGAGCCTGTGCTTCCTGCGCTTCCGAGGGCTCATTTCCTGCCGAGTCTGCACTTCCTGCGCTTCCGAGGGCGCTCTCCCTTCCGAGTCTGCGCTTCCTGGGCTTCCGAGGGTGTGCTTCCTTCCGAGTGCGCGTTGATCCTGTGGTTGCCTCCCAGTCAGGACGGATTTGCTTTATTTCTCTGCTTAGTATCACCCCTGAGCTTTTCGTTGTGGTTCGTTTTTTTGAGGTGGAGTCTCGCTCTGTCACCCAGGCTGCAGTGCAGTGGTGCGATCTCCGCTTACCTCTGCTTCCTGGGTTCAAGCAATTCTAATTCCTCAGCCTCCCATGTAGCTGAGACTGCAGGTGCGTGCCACCGTGCCTGGCTAATTTTTGTATTTTTACTACAGATGGGTTTCACTGTGTTGGCCAGGATGGTCGCAATCTCGTGGCCTCATGATCCACCCGCCTTGGCCTCCCAAAGTGCTGGGATTACAGGTGCAAGCCACCGCTCCTGGCCTACTCTGATCTTTTAAATGAAGCCTGACACACTGCTCCCCTTGTCCTGAGCAGTAAGAGCCTTAGTGTGTTTTATCGCTGGTCGCCACCCACAACCTCTGTGCTGTTCCCCTGCTTAGTTGTGTCTCGGGCTTCTTGACGCCCGCAAGCTAAACATCATCAGCGTTGTTTCTGAGCTCAGCATTTCTTTAGCTTTGACCCCGCCCCTTTTTTCCTCCTCTGTTCCCTGTCTTCTGTCTCGGACCCACCTACTGGGGTCCCCTTCCTTGTCTTTGTGTGGTTCTTCTATCTTGTTATTGCTGGCAAACCCAGCTTCACCTGTGCCATGGCCCCATGGCATCCAGTGACATCCAGGACTTCCGCTTATGGTGCACAGATGAAGGTGTGGAGACGCTCATCTCAGCCCGTGAGTGTCCGGAGAACCACGTGGCCACGCTCCTCAGCCAGTAAGTGACAGCAGCATCCAATCAGCCTGGCTTGCTTGGCCTGGCAAACCCCGGGTGTTCCTCAGCCAGCAAGTGGTAGCAGCGTCCCCTCGGTCTGGCTCAGCCTGGAAAACCCTGGTGTGTCAGGATCTGGTGGCTCTGGGGTGGCGAGTTTGAAATGCGCAAACCCACGATGTGGTGCCAGCGCTGCGGTGCTGCGTGTGGAGGCGTGTCTGCTTCCTCCCTTCTGCGGGCGAACCAGGAGGACCGAGGATGAGGCTTCGAGCCGCTGTTTCTTAACAGGAGCATGACGTGAGCCACGTGGATAGTCTTAAAATTTCTAGGGCCAGGCATGGTGGCTGACGCCTGTCATCCCAGCACTTTGGGAGGCTGAGGCAGGTGGATCACGAGGCCAGGAGATTGAGACCATCCTGGTCAACAGGCATGGTAAAACCTTGTCTGTACTAAAAATACAAAAATTTTAGGCAGGCGTGGTGGCGTGTACCTGTCATCCCAGCTACTCAGGAGGCCGAGGCAGGAGAATCGCTTGAACCAGGGAGTTGGAGGTTGCAGTGAGCCGAGACTGTCCTGCTGCACTCCTGCCTGGGCGCAGAGTGAGGCTCCATCTTACAAAAAAAAAAAAAAATTCAAGTAGCCACATTAAAAAAGGAAAGGAAAGGTGAAATTAGTGTGTGATGGGACATATCACCAAAGCCCCGCGTGTCCACAGCTCGTCATTCTAGGGCGTCATTGGTGGGAGCATCACCGACAGGACACTTGTTTCCTTTGCTTCATCTTCCGGGTCCCAAGTGTGGCCGTCTGGGCTTCCCACGGCCGTCGTACCGGAGGGTGCAGGTGTGGGGTGAGGTCGCCAGGCCCTGCGGTGAGCTGGATATGTCATGTCCTTCTCATTTCAGGGGTTGGCAGTGTTCCGGCTGCAGAGCACCGTCTGCGGGAGGAGATCCTGGCCAAGTTTCTGCACTGGCTGATGGGCGTGTACGTGGTGGAGCTGCTCAGATCTTTTTTTTATGTCACGGAGACCACGTTTCAGAAGAACAGGCTCTTTTTCTACCGGAAGAGTGTCTGGAGCAAGTTGCAGAGTATCGGAATCAGGTAGCGTATTCCAACACACGTCCTCTGCTCCTTGAGGTTCTGGAGATGGAAGCACTGGCCCCGGCCCCGGCGTGTGCCAGTCCACGCTTGCCCGTGCTTCCTGGCCTGGCTTGCGGCTCTGCACTGGGAGCTGCAGGCCTGGCACGAGCAGGTTCTGTGCAAGGCTCTGACTGCCTGGAGCCCACATTCTCTTGTCTATAAATTAGGAGATTGTATCACATGGTCTCTAGGGTCTCTAAAGCAGAAGGGATTTATACCGGATGGAGACACTACCATCAGCATCCTTGCCCCTCTTCGGGATAGATGTGGGTCCAATTCTCTCTCTCTTTTTATTTATTTTATTTTTATTTTTGAGTCTCCCTCTGTCACCCAGGCTGGAGTGCAGTGGCGCAATCTCAGCTCACTGAAACCTCCATCTTCCAGGTTCAAGCGATTCTCCTGCCTCAGCCTCCTGAGTAGCTGGGATTACAGGTGCCCGCCACCACGCTTGGCTAACTTTGTTATTTTTAGTAGAGACGGGGTTTCACCATGTTGGACCGGCTGGTCTCGAACGGCTGACCTCAGGTGATCTGGCCACCTCAGCCTCCCAAAGTGCTGGGATGACAGGCGTGAGCCACCACGCCCATTCTCCTGATTCTTTTTTAGTTCATGCTGTTCTGTATGGATATTTAATCTGTTGGATTTAGGTCACGAGAGGATAAAATCCCACCCAGCTGATGCCTCTCCGCAGGGACTGTGAGGATGGGAGTGTTCCCCTGTAGATTGACCTCGGGGTGGTTGTGTGTGAAAGGCTGTGAGGTCTTGTCTGCAACGTTCAGGTGATGTCGAGTGAGTGTGGAGGATGGTGGCAGATGCAGGCTGGATCTGCAGTGTGAGGGAGGTAGTGCTGGGCTGGGAGACGCCCGCCTGGCTGAGCCCAGGCCCTGACATGGGCTTCTCCATGTCCCGCCCAGGCTGGCTGTGTAGGGCTCAGGAGGACCCTCTCGTCACAAGGGTAGGGCTTCCCCAGCCCCTCTGCACACGTGAGTCCCTGGGGGGCCTGGTCACCCCGTGCCCCCCATTAGGATATCTGCAGAGGGAACTGGCAGCCGCCCTCGTCACAGGTCACTCGACCTCTGGGCTGGGGACCCCGACATGGTGCTAGGGCCATTTCCTTCTGCATCTAGGGGATGCTCAGGGCTTTCCCTGCGGGAACACGTTAATACACGATGCACCACACTATGACGTGTCAAGTTACATCACCATGACATTATACATACATGTCACAGTGTACGACCCAACATAGCCATTTGACCAGTATTTTCGAAAGAATTTAATTCAGGTGACAGGAAGGAGCAGACAGACATCGTGGTCCCCGAGACGCTGCTTGCCATGACTGGGAAACTGCTGTTCTGCCCTGGGGGCCTAGGAGGCCCCTCCTCCCTGGACAGGGTGCTGGGCCTCTCCCACGCTTGGCCGGGCATGCAACCTGGGGCCCGGGCACCAGCCCCAGAGCACCCTCGGCCCAGTGGCCACGTAGTGCCAGGCCACAGTCACAGATGCCCAGATCCAGTGCGGTCGCTCCAGCCCCCTGTGCCCCCATGGGTGGTTTCCGGGGAAAAGGCTGAAGGGCAGAGGTGTCAGGGAGCTGGTAGGCTCTCGAGAGCTGATTTTCCTCCTCAGCCTAGTTGCCCTGAGCAGCCTCCCTGACCCTCTTCATTGGAAGCGATGCGGCTCTTTCTGCCTGGGTGTCCTGCCTGGGCCCAGCCCTGGGCTACCCCGGTGGCTGTAGCAGAGGGACAGGCATCCCATGTGGAGGGGACATGGGTTCACGTGGCCCCAGATGGCAGCCTTGCAGCCTATCCTGGCTGGTGGCCACCAGACAGGCAACCTGGGGGTTGACCACAGGACTGGGCGCCCTGGGCTGACCATGGGACAGTCACCCTGGGGGTTGACCACAGGACTGGGTTCCCTGGGCTGACCCTGGGACAGTCACACTGGGGGTTGACCACAGGACTGGGCATCCCCAGGGTTGACTGTAGGACCAGGTATCCAGGTACCCTGCAAGTCGAGGTGCTTTCTGAGGCGTCTGGCCGGTGTGGGTGGACGTGGCCTCAGGCATGGGCTGCAGTGTGCTCTGCTGTGGGTGCCCTGAGCCCTCCACTGAGCGGATGGGGGCTGGTGTCCTGTGGGCTTCCCCACGTCTGTCCCACAGCCGAGCGTGTCCTGTGTGGGTAAGCCCCCTTCTGGGCATCAAGGAAGGAGAGCTAAGCAGATCCCCAGCACAGTTAGTGCCTGAAGAATCTCTTATAACGTTACTGCTCAGTTACTTTCTTTATATAATGCTGTATATGTAATAATGATGTATTAGTTTATAGTTGGAACAATTAGTGCCTGAAGAATCTCTTACAGTGTTACTGCTCAGGTTTTTTTTTATATAATCCTGTATATATAATCATATATTGGTTTATGGTTGGAACAATTAGTGCCTGAAGAATATCTCACTACTCAGTTATTTGCTTTTATATAATCTCTTATATATAATCTTACATTAGTTTATGGTTGAGCGGTTAGTGCCTGAAGAATCTCTCACTACTCAGTTATTTGCTTTTATATAATATCATATATAATCTTATATTAGTTTATAGTTGTTGCGGTTAGTGCCTGAAGAGTATCTCACTACTCAGTTATTTCCTTTTATATAATCTCTTATATATAATCTTACATTAGTTTATGGTTGAGTGGTTAGTGCCTGAAGAATCTCTCACTACTCAGTTATTTGCTTTTATATAATATCATATATAATCTTATATTAGTTTATAGTTGTTGCGGTTAGTGCCTGAAGAGTATCTCACTACTCAGTTATTTCCTTTTATATAATCTCTCTTTTTTTTTTTTTTTTTTTTTTGAGACGGAGTTTCGCTCTTGTTGCCCAGGCTGGAGTGCAATGGTGCAATCTCGGCTCACCGCAACCTCCGCCTCCTGGGTTCAGGCAATTCTCCTGCCTCAGCCTCCTGAGTAGCTGGGATTACAGGCACACGCCACCATGCCCAGCTAATTTTTAGTATTTTTAGTAGAGACGGGGTTTCACCATGTTGACCAGGATGGTCTCGATCTCTTGACCTCGTGATCCACCCGCCTCGGCCTCCCAAAGTGCTGGGATTACAGGCTTGAGCCACTGCGCCCGGCCTATATAATCTCTTATATATAATCTTACAATAGTTTATGGTTGACGGTTAGTGCCTGAAGAATATCTCACTACTCAGTTATTTCCTTTTATATAATCTCTCATATATAATCTTACATTAGTTTATGGTTGCGTGGTTAGTGCCTGAAGAATACCTCACTACTCAGTTATTTCCTTTTATATAATCTCTTATATGTAATCTTACATTAGTTTATGGTTGAGTGGTTAGTGCCTGAAGAATCTCTCACTACTCAGTTATTTCCTTTTATATAATCTCTCATATATAATCTTACATTAGTTTATGGTTGACGGTCAGTGCCCCTGAAGAATTCTCTCACTACTCAGTTTATTTCCTTTTATATAATCTCTCATATAAATAATCTTACATTATCTATGGTTGGCGGTCAGTGCCTGAAGAATCTCTCACTGCTCAGTTATTTCCTTTTATATAATCTCTTATATATAATCTTACATTAGTTTATGGTTGCGCGTTAGTGCCTGAAGAATACCTCACTACTCAGTTATTTCCTTTTATATAATCTCTCATATATAGATCTTACATTAGTTTATGGTTGCGCGGTTAGTGCCTGAAGAATACCTCACTACTCAGGTTATTCCTTTATATATCTCTTATATGTAATCTTACATTAGTTTATGGTTGAGTGGTTAGTGCCTGAAGAATCTCTCACTACTCAGTTATTTCCTTTTATATAATCTCTCATATATAATCTTACATTAGTTTATGGTTGACGGTCAGTGCCTGAAGAATCTCTCACTACTCAGTTATTTCCTTTTATATAATCTCTTACATATAATCTTACATTAGTCTATGGTTGACGGTCAGTGCCTGAAGAATCTCTCACTACTCAGTTATTTCCTTTTATATAATCTCTCATATATAATCTTACATTAGTTTATGGTTGGCGGTCAGTGCCTGAAGAATCTCTCACTGCTCAGTTATTTCCTTTTATATAATCTCTTATATATAATCTTACATTAGTTTATGGTTGCGCGGTTAGTGCCTGAAGAATACCTCACTACTCAGTTATTTCCTTTTATATAATCTCTCATATATAATCTTACATTAGTTTATGGTTGCGCGGTTAGTGCCTGAAGAATCTCTCACTACTCAGTTATTTCCTTTTATATAATCTCTCATATATAATCTTACATTAGTTTATGGTTGACGGTCAGTGCCTGAAGAATCTCTCACTACTCAGTTATTTCCTTTTATATAATCTCTTACATATAATCTTACATTAGTCTATGGTTGACGGTCAGTGCCTGAAGAATCTCTCACTGCTCAGTTATTTCCTTTTATATAATCTCTCATATATAATCTTACATTAGTTTATGGTTGCGCGGTTAGTGCCTGAAGAATCTCTCGCTGCTCAGTTATTTCCTTTTATATAATCTCTTATATGTAATCTTACATTAGTTTATGGTTGAGTGGTTAGTGCCTGAAGAATCTCTCACTACTCAGTTATTTCCTTTTATATAATCTCTTACATACAATCTTACATTAGTCTATGGTTGACGGTCAGTGCCTGAAGAGATCTCTCACTACTCAGTTATTTCCTTTATATAATCTCTTACATACAATCTTACATTAGTCTATTGGTTGACGGTCAGTGCCTGAAGAATCTCTCACTGCTCAGTTATTTCCTTTTATATAATCTCTCATATGTAATCTTACATTAGTCTATGGTTGAACGGTCAGTGCCTGAAGAATCCTCTCACTACTCAGTTATTTCCTTTTATATAATCTCTCATATATAATCTTACATTAGTCGATGGTTGGCCGGTCAGTGCCTGAAGAATCTCTCGCTGCTCAGTTATTTCCTTTTATATAATCTCTCATATATAATCTTACATTAGTCTATGGTTGACGGTCAGTGGCCTGAAGAATCTCTCGCTGCTCAGTTATTTCCTTTTATATAATCTCTCATATATAATCTTACATTAGTCTATGGTTGGCGGTCAGTGCCTGAAGAATCTCTCGCTGCTCAGTTATTTCCTTTTATATAATCTCTCATATATAAGTCTTACATTAGTCTATGGTTGGCGGTCAGTGCCTGAAGAAATCTCTCGCTGCTCAGTTATTTCCTTTATATAATCTCTCATATATAATCTTACATTAGTCTATGGTTGGCGGTCAGTGCCTGAAGAATCTCTCGCTGCTCAGTTATTTCCTTTTATATAATCTCTCATATATAATCTTACATTAGTCTATGGTTGACGGTCAGTGCCTGAAGAATCTCTCGCTGCTCAGTTATTTCCTTTTATATAATCTCTCGTATATAATCTTACATTAGTCTATGGTTGGCGGTCAGTGCCTGAAGAATCTCTCGCTGCTCAGTTACTTCCTTTTATATAATCTCTCATATATAATCTGACATTAGTCTATGGTTGACGGTCAGTGCCTGAAGAATCTCTCGCTGCTCAGTTATTTCCTTTTATATAATCTCTCATATATAATCTTACATTAGTCTATGGTTTGGCGGTCAGTGCCTGAAGAATCTCTCGCTGCTCAGTTATTTCCTTTTATATAATCTCTCGTATATAATCTTAGCATTAGTCTATGGTTGGCGGTCAGTGCCTGAAGAATCTCTCGCTGCTCAGTTATTTCCTTTTATATAATCTCTCGTATATAATCTTACATTAGTCTATGGTTGGCGGTCAGTGCCTGAAGAATCTCTCGCTGCTCAGTTATTTCCTTTTATATAATCTCTCGTATATAATCTTACATTAGTCTATGGTTGCGGTCAGTGCCTGAAGAATCTCTCGCTGCTCAGTTATTTCCTTTTATATAATCTCTCATATATAATCTTACATTAGTCTATGGTTGACGGTCAGTGCCTGAAGAATCTCTCGCTGCTCAGTTATTTCCTTTTATATAATCTCTCGTATATAATCTTACATTAGTCTATGGTTGGCGGTCAGTGCCTGAAGAATCTCTCGCTGCTCAGTTATTTCCTTTTATATAATCTCTCATATATAATCTTACATTAGTCTATGGTTGGCGGTCAGTGCCTGAAGAATCTCTCGCTGCTCAGTTATTTCCTTTTATATAATCTCTCATATATAATCTTACTATTAGTCTATGGTTGGCGGTCAGTGCCTGAAGAATCTCTCGCTGCTCAGTTATTTCCTTTTATATAATCTCTCATATATAACCTTACATTAGTCTATGGTTGACGGTCAGTGCCTGAAGAATCTCTCGCTGCTCAGTTATTTCCTTTTATATAATCTCTCGTATATAATCTTACATTAGTCTATGGTTGGCGGTCAGTGCCTGAAGAATCTCTCGCTGCTCAGTTATTTCCTTTTATATAATCTCTCATATATAATCTTACATTAGTCTATGGTTGCGGTCAGTGCCTGAAGAATCTCTCGCTGCTCAGTTATTTCCTTTTATATAATCTCTCATATATAATCTTACATTAGTCTATGGTTGGCGGTCAGTGCCTGAAGAATCTCTCAGCTGCTCAGTTATTTCCTTTTATATAATCTCTCATATATAATCTTACATTAGTCTATGGTTGGCGGTCAGTGCCTGAAGAATCTCTCGCTGCTCAGTTATTTCCTTTTATATAATCTCTCATATATAATCTTACATTAGTCTATGGTTGACGGTCAGTGCCTGAAGAATCTCTCACTGCTCAGTTATTTCCTTTTATATAATCTCTCATGTATAATCTTACATTAGTCTATGGTTGGCGGTCAGTGCCTGAAGAATCTCTCGCTGCTCAGTTATTTCCTTTTATATAATCTCTCATGTATAATCTTACATTAGTCTATGGTTGGCGGTCAGTGCCTGAAGAATCTCTCGCTGCTCAGTTATTTCCTTTTATATAATCTCTCATGTATAATCTTACATTAGTCTATGGTTGGCGGTCAGTGCCTGAAGAATCTCTCGCTGCTCAGTTATTTCCTTTTATATAATCTCTCATGTATAATCTTACATTAGTCTATGGTTGGCGGTCAGTGCCTGAAGAATCTCTCGCTGCTCAGTTACCTGCTTCCGTACATACGGTCATATCTCAGTTTAGGGTCATATCTCAGTTTATCGTCGGAGGAATGTCTAGAGCGGTGGGTGCCGAGCACCGACTCCGGGAGCGCAGTGACACCGGGCGGTCTGTGGCCCGGGCGGCGGCGCCTCTGCGCGGACGGGCATCGCCTGCCTGGCGGCCCCTCTGCCCGGAAGGGCGTCGCCTGCGTGGCCGCCCCTCTGCGCGGAAGGGCATCGCCTGCGTGGCGGCGCCTCTGCCCGGAAGGGCATCGCCTGCGTGGCGGCCCCTCTGCGCGGAAGGGCGTCGCCTGCGTGGCGGGCGGCCCGGGCGGCGGCGTTCGGTGTCGCGACGGCACCGCGTGTGGCAGGCTTGGAGCGAGGGTCGCTCCCCTGGGAGGAGCTGCGGGACCTTGCCGCGGTGCTGGTGGAAAGCCGGCCCCTGGCGGCGAACCGTGAGCGCCCGAGGGCTTCGAACCCCGGGTGTGACCGGCCTTGGTGGCCGCTGTGCTGACTCAGCGTCCTCCTGCGGGACGCTCTGGGGGCCGCCGGTAGGTGGCGCAGCCCCCGTCAGCTCTGTGGCCGCTGTGCTGACTCAGCGTCCTCCTGCGGGACGCTCTGGGGGCCGCCGGCAGGTGGCGCAGCCCCCGTCAGCTCTGTGGCCGCTGTGCTGACTCAGCGTCCTCCTGCGGGACGCTCTGGGGGCCGCCGGCAGGTGGCGCAGCCCCCGTCAGCTCTGTGGCCGCTGTGCTGACTCAGCAGCCTCCGGCAGACCGCTTAGAAGTAGGCAGACCGGGATGAGAGATGTTGCACACCGCCCGCTCATTCGCCGCGCCCCGCCCCCTCCTCGCCCCGCCCCCTCCTCCCACGGCCCGCCCCCTCGCCACACCCTGCCCCCACTGCCATGCCCCGCCCTCTCACCGCGCCCCGCCCCCTCACCGCGCCCCGCCCCCTCACCACACCCCGCCCCCCCACCACACCCCGCCCCCTCACCACCGTGCCCCGCCCTCTCCGCCGTGCCCCGCCCCCTCCTCGCTGTGCCCCGCCCTCTCACCGCCGGGCCCCGCCCCCTCCTCGCCACTCCCCGCCCCCTCCTCGGCCACCTGATGGGGGTGGGCCCCTTGCTTATCGCTCACGTGAATGTCTTGACCTCGTCACTGTCCTTAGGATGACCTCTCTCAGGACCCCACCCCCTAACCTGTACCCGATCCGTAGAGACGCTTCTGGGCGTGCGGGGCCTCGCCCGTCTCTGCCCGCAGGTGGTGGCCCCCAGCCCAGCTGCGCTCTCTTTGTCCTTTTCTGTCCTGTCTCTTTATTTCTCGGATCCCGTGCCTCGGCACAGCCAGCGGGGACACCCCGCGGCCCGTAGCGCGGCCCGTGGGACCCTACCTCCTGCTCTGTTGCAGGCAGCACTTGCAGAGGGTGCAGCTGCGGGAGCTGTCAGACGCCGAGGTCCGGCGGCGTCGGGAAGCCAGGCCGGCTCTGCCGACGTCCAGGCTCCGCTTCCTCCCCAAGCCCGACGGGCTGCGGCCTATTGTGAACATGGACTACGTCGTGGGAGCCAGAACGTTCCGCAGAGAAAAGAGGGTGACCGTGCTGTGGTTTAGTTAACTTTTTAAACGGAAGTGCGTCTGAGTCCCGTGTTCGGTATCCGCTGAGGTGAAGGGGAGAGGAGGGGCCGCAGGTCACAGCCAGGTCCACAGCTCGGCCCAAGCCCGTTGGTGGGCCCAGCTCGGTGGCCGAGGTCAGAAAAGCAGCATGGGGGTTGCTCCTGGGGCAGGGACGGGCTCTGAGGACCACAGGGAGCCACTGGGCCTGGGCCTAGATGCAGCGGGGCCTGAGGTCCCGGATCCGTGTCCTGCCGTGGCGCTCAGGCCCGTGTGCTGCTGTGTGTGGGGCCCAGGGACCAGGCCACGGCTGCCAGAGCCCACCGGGCACTGGGGACCCTGGGACCTCGCCCCCAGCTCCTGTACCCACCCCTGTGCTGTTGTGGCTGCAGTGACACCCTCATTCGAGGGGAGTGTGGGGTGAGCCAGGCAGAGGGGGTCGGGTGAGGATCCCATGTGGAACACACATGTGGCCCGCAGCACGTTTCAGACGGGCTCTGGGGAAGCTGTGAGGGGTCTAAGGCCCTGGGTCTGGGTGGCTGGGGACGCTGGGGTGGGGCTGCCTCTCCTGCGGGTCCCTCTGGTGGGCAGGGCAGCAGCCAGGTCTGCTTTCCTGACCACCTCCGTGCTGTCCCACCAGGCCCAGCGTCCCACCTCGAGAGTGAAGGTGCTGTTCAGCGTTCTCAACTACGAGCGTGCGCGGCAGCCCGGCCTCCTGGGCGCCTCCGTGTTGGGCCTGGACGACATCCACAGGGCCTGGCGCGACTTTGTGCTGCACATGCGGGCCAGGGACCCGCCGCCCGAGCTGTACTTTGTCAAGGTGGGTGCTGGGGACCCCCTTCGGCAGCCCTGCTGGGCCTCGGGAGTGGCCGCCTGATTCCACCTGTGTTGGGTGGAGGAGGCACTCCTGGGTGGGCCGCAGGGAGTGCAGCTGACCCTGTCACTGTTGGGGACATGTCGGCTCCTGGGGTGGAGGCCTTGTACCCCAACCCTAGGGCTCCTTCTTCCAGGGGAGGTCTCACCAGATACCATCAGAGAAGGGACTGTGCCGGCTCAATCACTAGGCCCTGGTGCCTCACACCCAGTCCTGAGCCAGGGGCCTCCTGTCCTGAGGCTCAGAGAGGAGACAGCCCGCCCTGCCCTTGGGGTCTGGAGAGGTGGGGGGGCGCATGGCCCACCTTGCCCTTGGGGTCGGGAGGGGTGGGGGTCAGAGAGAGAGGGGGATGTGGCTGCGGCCAGGACCTGGGGGCAGAAGTGTCGTCTGCGTCACAAACTGGACACCGTCAACCTCTTCTTGTCTCACATAGGTGGATGTGACAGGCGCATACGACACCATCCCCCAGGACAAGCTTGTGGAGGTCATTGCCAGCATCATCAGGCCGCAGGCCACGTACTGCGTGCGGCGGTATGCTGTGGTCCAGAAGGCCGCCCACGGGCACGTCCGCAAGGCCTTCAAGAGCCATGTAAGGCTCCTGTGTGATACAGTTGGTGTCCAGGATGTGTGTGTCTCTGGGATATGGATGTGTCTAGGATGCAGTTGTGTCTGTGATGTGTTTCTGTAAGGTGCTTTCATGATTTACACATCTGTGATGTGTGTGGTGTGTGTGTCCATGGCACAAGTGTGTCTGGCGTGTGTGTGCCCATTGTGTCTGGCACGTGTGACTGTGGTGTGTTTCTGATGTGCATGTTTGTGATGTGTTTGCATGTGTGCATGTGGTGTGTCACTGATGTGCATATTTGCAGTATGTATGTCTGTGACGTGTGTGTCCATGCTGTGTATGTCTGTGGTGTGTGTGTCTCTGCTATGCATGTTTCTGGTGTGTGCATGTATGCATGTGTGTGGTGTGTCATTGACGTGCATGTTTGCAGTGTGTCTGTGACGTATGTCTGATGTACATATTTGTGGTCTGTGTGTGTGTCCGTGACAAGTGTGTGTCCCTGCTGTGTGTCTATGTTGTGTATCTATGTTGTGTATCTGATGTGCATGTTTACCGTATGTGCATGTGTGTGGTGTGTCACTGACATACATGTTTGCAGTGTGTCTGACATGTGTGTCTAGCACACATATGTGTGGTGTGTGTGTCTGCTACACATGCGTATGCATGCAGTATGTCTGGAATGTGTGGTGTATTACTGACATGCATGTTTGCGATGTGTGTGCAAGTATATGTCACTGATGTGCATGTTTGCAGTGTGTGTCTGACACATGCATCTGTGATATACACATGGGTGGTGTGTCCGTGACACATGTGTGCATGCTGTGTCTGTGGTGTGTGGTATATTACTGACATTCATGTTTGTGGTGTGTGCACGTGTGTGTCTTGTGTCACTGATGTGCATGTTTGCGGTACGTGTCTGATGCATCTGTGATGTACATATGTGTGCTGTGTGTCCGTGACACATGCATGTGTGTGCTGTCTAGTGTGTGGTATATTACTGACGTGTGTTTGCAGTGTCTATGCACGTGTATGCGTTTGCAGTGTTTGTGCACGTGTATGTGGTTTGTCACTGACACGCATGTTTGTGGTGTGTGTGGTGTGTGGTATATTACTGACATGCATGTTTGCGTTATGTGCACGTGTGTGTGGTGTGTTACTGGCATGTGTGATGTGTATGGTATATTACATGCATGTTTGTGGTGTGTGGTGTATTACTGACATACATGTTTACAGTGTGTGCACGTGTGTGCAGTGTGTTACTGACATGCATGTTTGTGTTGTGTGGTGTATTACTGATGTGCGTGTTTGTGGTGTGTGTGTGTATTACTGACGTGTGTGTGGTGTGTGTGGTGTATTGACGTGCGTGTTTACGGTGTGTGCACGTGTGTGTGGTGCATTACTGACGTGCCTGTTTGCAGTGTGTGTGCACGTGTGTGTCTGTGCTGTGTGTGTGGCCCTCAGCCTCCCTTCCCTCTGCTGGGCATGAACCGCACCGTGTCCTTGCACGCTCGGGTGCTGGTGTGGTGAGTTCTGCGTTCAGGGTCCTCCCTTCCAGCACGGGTGCCTTGTCCTGTCACAGCGCTGGGCCTCAGAGCCTGCAGGCTGGTTTTGGGAGGAGACGAGGGATGCTGGTGGTACCTTCCTGGCCCCCCTGGGATCCCCCAGGATCCTAGCGTGGCCTGTGCCAGCTCCATGAGAGACGAGAAGGCCTACTCAGGCCTTGCTCCCCCCGGGCACTCTCCTCCCAGGGCGGCCGGGGCCTGGGGGTTCAGCAGGGGTGAAAGGGGCCCTGGGCTTGGGTTCCCACCCAATGGTCATGAGCATGCTGGAGTACGGGGGCTTAGCCCCCGAAGCAGTGCCGGGCTGGGGGTGCAGAGGTGGAGACATGTCCTCAGAGTTTTAGTCTGGGGAGAAGCACGTGTGAAGACCTGCCTGGACCTTTTCGTCTCGCTTTTTCTTGAGACTATTGCAGGGATTTGCAAATCTCATGTCTGACTCAGCAGAATTTTATACTTGTGGAAACCTGATGGCCGCCACCTGCACCCAGGTGTAGGAAGTCACCAGAGTCCAGGAGACCTCCTCCTCCCAGCAGAAGCCGCTGCCCCTGCAGTGACCCTGGTTCCAACCTCTAGGTCTCCACACTAGTGAGATCAGATGGGAGGTGGTTTCTGGGGTCTGAGCCTCAGCCATGCCGTGTGTGTGGCCGAGCATCCTGTCCACAGGTGGTTCTGTTGTGGAACACGCCACGTGGATGTATCCTTCCTGCTGCTGTGGAGCCTTCTGGGTGTGGATTCCACGGCTGCGCCTACTGTGAGCGCTCTGGCATCTGGGAGTGTCCTGGGGGTCAAAAACCCTCGCCTCTGGGTAAATTCCAGGGGTGGGGTTCTGGGTCACAGACCTGCATTATGAACGTTGTGGGACTTTCCAGGGGGTGACGGTGACACCCTAGCTGGCTGCGAGGCGAGCTGCTCATGAGGGCAGTGTGGTGTGTGGTGACTGTGGATGGTGGTTACTGGTGAGGGGTCTGATGTGACTGTGGATGGTGGTTAGTGGTGAGGGGTCTGGTGTGACTGTGGGTGGTGGTCAGTGTTGGGGGGTCTGGTGTGTGGAGACTGGATGGTGGTCAGTGTTGGGGAGTCTGACGTGACTGTGGGTGGTGGTCAGTGTTGGGGAGTCTGACGTGACTGTGGGTGGTGGTCAGTGTTGGGGGGTCTGACGTGACTGTGGGTGGTGGTCAGTGTTGGGGGGTCTGGTGTGTGGTGACTGGGTGGTGGTCAGTGTTGTGGAGTCTGACATGTGACTGGGTGGTGGTCAGTGTTGGGGGCTCTGGTGTGTGGTGACTGTGGGTGGTGGTCAGTGTTGGGGAGTCTGACATGTGACTGTGGGTGGTGGTCAGTGTTGGGGGCTCTGGTGTGTGGTGACTGGGTGGTGGTCAGTGTTGGGGAGTCTGACATGTGACTGTGGGTGGTGGTCAGTGTTGGGGGGTCTGGTGTGTGGTGACTGTGGGTGGTGGTCAGTGTTGGGGGGTCTGGTGTGTGGTGACTGGATGGTGGTCAGTGTTGGGGGGTCTGGTGTGTGGTGACCGTGGATGGTTGTTAGTCATGGTGTGTCTGCATTGTGGTGACAGCAGGTGGCGCTCTGGGTGTTGATAGCTACTTTTTGTCCCCATCCTCATTCGTCTCCTTTCCCACACAGAAGCTCCCAGGGGCTCCCGGGCTTGACCACAGGTGGCGCGGCTCCGTGTGTCCTTGTTGGAAGAAGCACGTGCCCAGCCCTGGGTCGGGGTGGGCGGCACCTGTGGCTCACGCCCCCCCTCTGCCGGCAGGTGTCCACCCTGGCGGACCTCCAGCCGTACATGCGGCAGTTTGTGGCCCGCCTGCAGGAGACCAGCTCCCTGAGGGATAGCGTCGTCATTGAGCAGGTCCGGGCACACGCTCCCAACGGCGGGTCCCCACCTGGGGCGCCACTGGGGTCATCACCAGACAGACTGTTGGCTCTGGGCGGTTAGGGGGGTAGCGAGCTGTTGCGGGGCCGTGATGAGCCGCGTGCTCTGGTGGAATCTCCACCACGTCCCACGCTGAGCTGTGCCACGCTGTGATAGCTGCCACATTCCGGCTACTGCTTACATTTGACTACACGGCCCCTCTCCACTCTACGTGGCTTCATCCATGATTTGCTAAACGTCTTCTCTGTCAGTGTGGAGCTTGAGGCCAAAGGAAGCGTGTCTCCCTCCTTGGGGAAGACAGGCCATGTTTGAGCTGCGTCCCGCTGGGCTGACTTCTCCGTGCTGGGTCTGCTCACGTGGCTCTATGGCTCTTTGCAGATGCCTCTTTAGCCCTTGCTCTACTTATGGGACAGTCATGTCCACTGGGTGAGGCTCAGAGAACTTCGGGCAAATTTCCTTTGCTCCCAGGGTGGGGATGAGGGGGGCGTGGGCTCCTGGGACCCAGACCCATTGCTGTCTGGGCGGCGGCAGCATGTGGGGGTCTGAGCCCAGTGGACACAGTGGCCCAGAGGGTGTGTTCTTCGTCACACACTGTGCCTAAGGCCCTGTGTGTCTGCAGAGACTCGGCCTGGCCAGCCTACAGTGGCCCTACATTCCAGCCTAGCCCTGCACTTCGTTGCAAAAACTGTCCCCAAAAGGGACTCAGGGTCTTGGCTACGGTCCTACCTGTCTGAGCGCCCCCCACCCACTCCCGCCTCCCGTCTGCCTTCCCAGAGCTCCTCCCTGAATGAGGCCAGCAGCGGCCTGTTCGACGTCTTCCTACGCTTCGTGTGCAACCACGTCGTGAGGATCGGGGGCAAGTGAGTTGGGCGGCATGGGTGCCATTGCTGGTGGGTGGGCAGGTTGGGCTTCTGCCCACCTCTCGCCTTTCTGCTCCCCCCTGCCCTTCTCCAGGGGGCCTCCGGGGTCTCCATTTCTGGCTCCCGGGCTGGAGGCTCCTGAGGCCCCAGGAACGTGGCTCAGCTGGCAGCTGCCGGTGCAGAGCAGAGGCCACGCGAGGCCTGGGAATGGCAGGCTGGGTGTGGACTTGCCCCTGTGCCGAGGACGACGGGCGTGGGGTGTGTCTGGGTCAGGTGTGCAGCTGAGCATTTGAGCCTGCAGCTTGTCAGCTCCAAGTTGCTGGAGCTGAAAACCCGGCTCTCACACTCTGATATCTCTCTCTCCAGGTACAGGAGGATTTTATCCGATTTTTAGTCCGGTCCCTGTCATGTGACCCTGCAAGGGCATGGGCTCTCCTCTTTGTGACTAGACTTCCCATCTGGAAAGTGGGGGCTTGACTGTGTACTTTGCTCCTTTTGGGGGCCTGTGCTGGCCGTGGGGCAGGTGGCCTGGGAGAGCCGCCATCACACAGCAACCATGCCCAGTCTCAGCATGTCCCCTGGATTTCAAATAAAACCACACACCTCCCAGCAGGCCTCTGCCTGTGGCCCCGCACGTGCCGGGGAGAGCAGCGGCATGGGGGACCTGCCAGCACAGCCAGGCTGGACTGCGGAGGCCCCTCTGGGGTCATCTCCAGCAGACACGTGCAGCTGTGCACAGCTTCAGTGGCTTTTATTAAAAAATGTAACTGTTAATTATTGCATGATAAGTAGCCACTCATGTTATTATTAGCAATTATAATGTTTATTAAAGTATCATTAGAAATATTAAGTGATATACACATCCTAAAAAAACAGATTGCAGATGGCTGCAGAGGGAATTTTGACCAGGGGACATGTGTGCACGTGTATAAGTGGCACCCGGGCCACAGAAGCCACTGGCAATGTGTTATAAGTAAAATTTCAATGCTGCAAAAGAAATTGCTCTGGAAGATCAGTCCTCTCAGCAAGACAGTTTACTTCCTCAGAAGGGTGCGGCACACAGATGGAGAAGGGTGACCACATGTTTAGACGGGAGGAAAAGGGGTATTTATTCCTGACCGGGGTCGCCCCTACTGCTCTGCTGTTCCCCTATTGGCTAGGTTAGACCGCACAAGCTAGACTCATCCCGATTGGCTATTTTAAAGACAGCAGGGTCTGAGCTGGAGTGGCAGGGTGGGTGGTTTGGCGGGAAGGACAGTTACAGGCAGGTCGGGGCAGGTATCCAGGGGTGACCTGGTCGGAGCAGGTGACCAGAGCAGGTGACTGAAGCAGGTGACCCGGATGAGTCAGGATGGAGCCAGGGGCTGGGGGAACAGACGTGAACTACTGATTAGAACCGGTGGAGAAAGTTGTTTACTGGAATTACAAGGAAGTTAAACTTTGAAATTGAGAATTAAAGAGTAAGAGAGCTGGACATACTGACGTATTGATTCTTTAAAGAGAAACTTGGCGTTTGCTGTATCTAACAAAAGTTACTCCCTAGAGTGGCCGCCACAGGACTCCTTTCTGGCCGTGAATTTTACTAAGGTGGATCAAGCCACATGCCATCAGTGTGTGGCGGGGGAATGTGAGGTGTGACTGTCCTCGTGCTCTGATGGGCAAGAGGTTGCTGTGTCTGTCCTGCCCCTAGGACACAGACAGGCCTGAAGCTCACATCCCCACTGGGGTCCAGTTTGTCCTCTGAACAAACACATCTTCAAAATGTATTGCCCCAAAAACCAAGAACAGAGAGTTTCCCATCCTGCGCGCCCACGGGGGTGTATCCGCATGCGTCGCCGCGCTGGGCTGGCCAGACTCCTGGAGTTGATGCCTCCGTGTGAAAAGCACAGTCCCTGCCCATCAGTGTGATGTCTGCACCGACAAGGAAAGCCTCTTTTTTTTTTTTTTTTTTTTTTTTTTTTTTTTAATCTTTTAGTGTCCCTGTGGTCTGCCCAGGCTGGAGGACAATGGCATGATCTCAGCTCACTAACCTCTGCCTCCCAGGTTCCAGCAATGCTCCCGCCGCAGCCTCCCAAGTAGCTAAGATTACAGGCACCTGCCACCACGCCTGGCTAATTTTTGTATTTTTAGTAGAGACAGGGTTTTGCCATGTTGGCCAGGCTGGTCTCGATCTCCTGACCTCAGGTGATCCACCCACCTTGACTTCCCAGAGTGCTGGGATTACAGGTGTGAGCCGCCGCACCTGCCCAGAAAGCCTGTTTTTAAGGGGACCACTTACAGCGCTCCTTGGAAATAACAGGTCTCGTCTCTGCAGGGGGCCTCAGTGCCTCTTAGCAAGAGGAGTGGGCGTCCTTCGGACTCCGAGGACAGCCGAGGGTCACGTGGCAGGCATGCCCCCTGTACGCACCTTCGCGTTCCGAGGGCCTGTTCCGCTCTGTTTGTCAGAAAACGCACCCCTGGCATCCTTGTCTGTCTGCAGAGTGTGTCTTGTGGGTCGTTGTAGAACTGGGGGAAGGTTGTATCCATCTGCACACAGCTGCTGCAGTAGGGCTGTGGTCTTTCACTGTGGGTACATTCCTTCCAGGTCGGTGTCTGTTCTGTAATTAAACTAAGATGTAAACCGCTTCATGAAAGAAACCCCTGATGCACCAGAACAAGGATGTGGTCACCCCTGTGGCTGCGCCTGCTTCAAACCCAGTTCACAGTGAGAGGGACGCAGGGACTGTGTGTGCGACTTAGGTGCCTGCCAGCTGAATGGTAGACACGTTGTTGGTGTGTGGGGTGCTCTCTGTGTGAGTCCAGCACCCTCCTTGTCCGACTGGGGCCTGTGTCTCCCCCGCCAGGTCCTACGTCCAGTGTCAGGGGATCCCGCAGGGCTCCATCCTGTCCACACTGCTCTGCAGCCTGTGCTACGGCGACATGGAGAACAAGTTGTTTGCCGGGATTCGGCAGGACGGGTGAGGATTCGGCGGGACGGGTGGGGACGGGGCGGGACAGGTGGGGACAGGTGGGGCCTCCTCTTTCCTGGGGGCTTGGGTGATGGTTGATTTGCTTTCGGGGCATTCAGTGTTAATGTTTCTGGCGCTCTGGAGGCCATGACTGTTCCATCCTGAGGCACCAGGGAAGGTTGCAGCCCCTCCTTGGTGGGAAGCCGCCCGGGAGGGGTCGCGCAGGTGTGGTCTGTGGGCCCCACATGGACTCTGTCCAGCAGCCGTGTCTGCAGGCCTCAAGGCTCAGCAGGTAGGAGGGCCGTTGCCCTGTGTGACGAGCTTGTGAACTCAACACCGAGGAAGCACACCAGCTTCCGTGACACCTGCTTGGGATCCTTGAGGTCCTCAGGGAGATGGGTCTGGTGCAGCCTGAGGCCCCAGTCACCGGGCAAACCCTTGACAGGTGGCCTGGACAGGGTGTGTCTTCAGCCCGTTGCCCATCCCACTCTCATGGGGTCTACACCCAAGAATGTCTTGCTTCTAAGTATTGGGCCAACCTAATGTGCTTCGGCTCAGCTGCTTTTGTGGACAGCAGTGACTGTTTCAGTGAAAATAGTTAGCGAAGGATGCGTCGTGAAGCCTGCAGCCACAGGGCCATTTCTCTCCAAGTCTCTGGGTTTTCTTTGTGTATCTTTTAAAACTCTGGTTCCAATCATAGCATGTACGGTAGAACAAGGTTCTTTTTAATTACGATTCAAGTTCTGGGTTGAAATAAGTTTATGTCAAAGGAACAAAAATGTCTTGTACACACAGCTTGCTCTGGGGCCCGGAGGGAAGTGTCCTCGAGCTGGCAGCATGCCAGTCAGCCCTCCGGGACAGGACGCCTGGGTCCATGGCCGCGGGCACCAGGCGTGGGCTCGAGGGTGACTCTGAGATTGCACACGGTGCACCGTGCCCAGCTTCCTGTGGACAGGATCTGGGCCTCAGGTGACGCTGAGAACCGCAGCTGTCACGCTGGTAGAGGGCACCACGCAGCTCAGAAAGGTGAGGTTCCCGGCCCGGCACTGCTACCTCTTCAGCTGCTTTTCCCTGAGAGTCTGAGGAGTGGGGTCGCCCCTGACGGCCTCCGTTCATCCTCAGCAGGGCAGAGTCGCACAAGCCGGTGCCAAACACCGTATGCTCATCATACGTGAGGAATCGCCTTATGGTTAACCAGAGAGCACATCTGTTGGAAAGAATTTAAGTTTTTTATTGAAGCGCTTTGGAGAGTGTCACTTTATTTTGCCTGAGTAGGTTGTTTGATGTTCAGTTCCTCACGGGAAGATGCCTGCACGCGAAGTGTGAAGTTAACCTTGCCCGTGCCTTTCCCTGATTTTAGGCTGCTGCTGCGTTTGGTGGATGACTTCTTGTTGGTGACACCTCACCTCAGCCACGCAAAAGCCTTCCTCAGGTGAGGACTGCGTCGCACGCCCCTGGGGACCTCCGTGGCCTGTGGCCTTTGCAGAGCTGAGCCCCCTCCCATGTCCTGCCCCTAGCGCCACGGCGTGGTCTTGTCCTGCCCCTAGGGCCACGGCGTGGTCTTGTCCTGCCCCTGGCGCCACGGCGTGGTCTTGTCCTGCCCCTAGGGCCACAGCGTGGTCTTGTCCTGCCCCTGGCGCCATGGCGTGGTCTTGTCCTGCCCCTGGCGCCACGGCGTGGTCTTGTCCTGCCCCTAGGGCCACGGCGTGGTCTTGTCCTGCCCCTGGCGCCATGGCGTGGTCTTGTCCTGCCCCTGGTGCCACGGCGTGGCCTTGTCCTGCCCCTAGGGCCACGGCGTGGTCTTGTCCTGCCCCTGGCGCCACGGCGTGGTCTTGTCCTGCCCCTGGTGCCACGGCGTGGTCTCTGCCGAGTCCTCTCTTTGTCCGTGCTGGATCTGCAAGAGCAGGGTGCTTGGCGGTGTACCCAGGCCTGGGGGTGCAGGGCCGCCTTTGGGAGAGGGCAGGCGCGGTCCCGCGGAGGTGCACGCGGGTTACACACGCACGGAGCGAAGGTGGTGACCCGGCTCCTACCACTCTTTGGAAAGTCTTCAAGCGTGGCAGTTCCTGGGGCCCCCGTGAGACCCCCAGGGTCTGTGCGGGGGAGCGTGCCCGGGCCTGTGGGGCGCGGGACCTGCCGTGGAGCCCGCCCACCGAGTAGGCTGCAGTCACGCTTCCACGTGGGGTGCTTTGGGATCAGTGGCGAAGTCAGATTTGTGGTGCTGTCCTGAAGTGTGGAGGTGGCCGGGGTGGGTCTCAGAGTGGACTCTGTGGCTCAAATGAAAATCAGGCACAGGGAGCCTGGCCTTAGCACAGGGGATTGTGGAGCCGGGTCTCCCTCAGCGGCGCCCCTCCCTGGAGCCCGTGTTCTTGAAGTGCGATTTGACAAGGCACCAGAAACCTCTTATAAACAGAACCCTCAGAAAGTAGTGGCTGCCAGGGGTGGTTTTGTGTGCCTGGCTGGGCTGTGTTTGTGAAACCCATCTGGACCACCCTCCAGTGCTGTTCTGGGTCGGGGCGGTGCACCCCACGTTCTTCAGCACCATCAGTACCACAGCCCGGAGCGCAACAGGCTGCACACAGTGAAGTCACAGCAGGCAACGCACATTTAAATCCACTAAGATTCACTCGGGACGAACCCAGATCCCGGGCAACTGAGAACTCAGGAGTGCTGAGGCTGCTGAGGGGACAGAGCAGATGGGGACACTGCTTCTCTTGTGGCAAGTTCCTGAGGGTACTGGCCAGGGAGGTGGCTCAGCGTGTATGTTGTGGCCCCACCCAGGGCAGGACCCCCAGGAGAGGAGTCAGCAACCATGTAACAGGCAGGGGTGGCTGCAGGGAGCTGAGAAGGCACCAGGAGGACTGAGCAGCCTGCCGAGGTCCCAGGTTAAAGGGACACCCTGGGCCAGAGCAGAGGCCGCAGGAAGGGAAGGGGACGCCTGGGGCCAGAGCAGAGGCCGCAGGAAGGGAAGGGAGACACCCGGGACCAGAACAGAGGCCGCAGGAAGGGCAGGGGACACCCGGGACCAGAACAGAGGCCGCAGGAAGGGCAGGGGACACCCGGGACCAGAACAGAGGCCGCAGGAAGGGCAGGGGACACCCGGGACCAGAACAGAGGCCGCAGGAAGGGCAGGGGACACCCGGGACCAGAACAGAGGCCGCAGGAAGGGCAGGGGACACCCGGGGCCAGAACAGAGGCCGCAGGAAGGGCAGGGGACACCCGGGACCAGAGCAGAGGCCGCAGGAAGGGAAGGGGACACCCGGGGCCAGAGCAGAGGCTGCTGGGCACAGGGGGCTCCCTGAGATGGGTGGTTGAGGCTCATGACCCGGTGAGGGAACCTCCTTGAGGTGAAGCTGGTGATTGGTATTGCTCAGCTCACAGCCCAGCTGGGTCCCACGCCTGGGCATGAACTCAGAACCCTCCCCTGCATCTAAAGCACAGCAGATGCCTTCAGGGCACCCAGGAGAAGACCGCAGAGTCTCGGAGGAGGAGTGACGCGGTGGGGGTTTGTTGTTCAGATCTTAGTTTACCCCAGACCACGGATGAGTCTTTATGACAGGACTGTGGCCTTGCCGTGGGGACACGTGAGATGGACCATCACAGAGGCCGCTGGGGCCACACCTCCCGTCTGAGTCCTGGCTGTCCTGGGTCCAGGCCGGGTTCCTGCATGCACTCACCTACCTGTCCTGCACAGGAGACAGGGCAAGCACCCAGAAGTCCAGGGCAGGGCTGGGTCTGGGCTCCTCAGAGCTTCTGCCAGGCCCAGCACCCCACTCCCCAGCACTGCTTCTCCAGGGTTTTCACAAGGGTGTCAGGGCCCCTCCTGGGTGACGTTGCCCCTCTGCCTTAGGACCCTGGTTCAAGGCATCCCTGAGTATGGCTGCGTGGTGAACTTGCGGAAGACGGTGGTGAACTTCCCCGTGGACGATGAGGCCTTGGGCAGCGCGGTGTTTGTCCAGCTCCCAGCCCATGGCCTGTTCCCCTGGTGCGGCCTGCTGCTGGACACCCGGACCCTGGAGGTGCAGAGTGACTTCTCCAGGTGAGCGTGGCTGGCCGGGAGCAGAGCCTGTGCCCAGCAGGGCAGATGGCGCTACAGGGCGGTCCCTCCTGCACTTGCTTCCATGTGGGGCAGGCACCTGCCAATCCCAAAGGGTCAGGGGCCGCAGGGTGCCCCTCCTCCCATCCAGGGCTGAGCAGAACAGTGTCTTTCTGTGGGAGTGAGGGTGCTCACAAGGGGAGCAGTTTTCTGTGCTGTTTTGGTGTAAGGAGATTGTGCACCAGCCCCAGGAGCGCTGTGTCCTCCGAGAGCAGTCTGGATCCAAACCCAGAGCTGATGAGGCCCTGTCGGGCGTGAGTCTCTCCACCACGAGGACACAACACTCCGAGGCTCGTCCACAGCCCACGGGATGCCATGAGTTCATGATTATGTGTGACACATCGGGACAGGGCTCTTGCGTTTGGTGGTCTCTGTACAAAATGCTGGGGTTCCACTTTCCTTGAGCCCAAGAGCTCATGGCACCACCTCAGGCTCAGACACAAATGGACTGAAGTTGAACATAGATACAGAGATCTGTGCTGTTTCTTTTATGAGTGGGGCACAGTGGCTCACACCTATAATCCCAGCACTTTGGGAGGCTGAGGCAGTTGGATCACTTGAGGCCAGGAGTTTGAGAGCAGCCTGGCCAACATCTCTACTAAAAAATAAATTAGCTGGATGTGGTGGTGCACACCTGTAGTCCCAGCTGTGCGGGAGGCTGAGGCAGGAGAATCGCTTGAATGTGAGAGGGAGAAGGTGCAGTGAACCAAGATCACCCCACTGCACTTTAGCCTGGGCAGCAGAGTGAGACTCTGTCTTAAACCAAAAAGTATCAGCATTCCAAACCTGTGGACAGGTGTTTTCTTTATTCTGTCCTCTGTCCTTCAATAAAATTCACTGGTGCTGGGTTAGAGGCCGGAAATGGGGCCACCTTCCTTTAAAAGGCACAGTTTCATGGGAAGAGAAATAAGTAGATGTTTGCTAAACCAGTGGTTTAAACTGGGGTCCAGTCATTCTGAGTTGAACAGTCCAGGTCTGGACTTTGCCCGTTTCCAGAATGCTCCCTGGGGTTTGCTTCATGGGGAGACAGCAGGTACAGCCATACCTTGTGATGGGGGAGCGGCAGGTGTAGGCACCCTGTGCACGGCGCCCAGCACATCCCTCCTGCAGTCCCCTCCCCACCAGGGTGCCAGTCCCCTGTGCCACCCACAGTCCCTGCCTCCTTCTCCTGACCTCACCTGATCCTGGCCTCTGCTGGCTTTGTCTGGGTGATTTCCAGATTTCCTGGGCTCCTAGCACCTCCACGCCTCTCCCAGGTACCTCTGCAGTGCTGGCCATACCAGTCAGCCGTGAACCATCCACTGCTTATTTTGCTTCCCATGAAACTGGCATTTCTAAGGACAGGCACCCCTGGTTCCGGCCTCTGGCAAACATCAATGAATGTTACTGAAGGACAAAGGATGGATGAATGAATCAGGAAAATGAGTCCTCTCTGAACACACTGGCAAAGCCACAGAGACTGGTACAAGCCAGGTAGGCATCAGGGAATCAGATGTGTGTTCAACACCAGAATATTCCATGCTTCCAAAGACCACTTGGTCAGAGTGCCCGCTTGCAGTTGTGGCCCTAAAAGCTCAGCAGTGGAGACAGTGGTTCACCGCATTCGGGGGAACTCAGATCCTCTGTGTCTGAAACATACAGCTGAGGCTTGAAGGACACCTGGGAGAAGAAACAGGCAAAATGACTGAGAAAAGTGAAAAACCAAGAGTGGTAAGATGGAAATTTCTTGTCCAGATTTTCATCTCCCAAACCACAGCTCAGGTGACAGAATGTGTGAGAATTAATGGACAGACGCTCTCTCATAAATGTGTGTTAATGTGGAGTGTGGTACAGCTGATGGAAAAGAGAAGGTGTGTTTAATTTTTCCATGTGAGAAAACTGGAAGAAAGTAAGTTGCGTCTTTATAACATATACCAGAGCAGATTCTAGGTGGGAGAGGAGCTGCATGCAAACAACACTAGCAACAGAAACAAAAGACTCAAAGGAAAGGGAGTTGAAGTGTCCCCGATTTGTGCTGGGGACGGACACACAGAGGCAGATGAAATCAGTGAGGAAACAGGCATTGCTTTCACTGCAGAGAAACTTAACTTGCCTGAGCCACAGTGAAAGTGGCCATTCCCTGGAGCACCTGTGTGTGTGACTTATTTAAGGGACCCTGCAAGGTGCTGCACGTTGATCCTCACACTTTGTTCTCCTAATGACCTGAGACGTAGAGGAGGAAAGGCTTCAGGGGAGCGACCTGCCCTCCGTCACCCCGCTGGTGAGGGGTGCACACGATTGCAGCCTGGCCTGCTCCAGGGCTCTCATTCTTCCTGAGGACTCCGCACAGGTGAGGCCCATAGGCTCAGGGCAAGCCAGAGCCCGAGGTCATGCTGGTGGGTGCTGTGGAAGAAGAAACGGACATCTGATGCACACTTGGGAAGGTCCTACCTCCAGCGTCAAAGAAGTGTGTGTGAAGCCGGCAGCGAGGCGCGCTCCTCACACTGGCTCCTTTTCAGTGCTTGCCGTGAGCCAGCGTCAGGGTGAGGCAAGCTGGAAGACTTTTATGGAAAACAGGTTGTTTGCATGGAGATCCTTCCGATGCCCTCCGGTGTTTTCCCAGTAATTCCATTTCTGAAGTGACCAGACATTGTCGCGGGTCTTATTGCCGTCTGCTCCAGGCGGCAGGACTCGGCACAGCAAGTCACGAACCTGCCCCAGTACAGGGCTCAGCAAGTATCACATATCACAAACCTTACTCTGTTGTTAAACGGGTTTTTGGAGAATGTTTAATGGCACGAAGCCTTTATTTATTTCGATATAAGAGTGTTCGGCGCTGGATGGGAAGGAACACACCCGGGGAGCCTGACGTGAATGCCACGTGTTTGCCTTTGGACACGACACAGGGGAGTGAGCGGTGGCGAGGCCGTAGGGGACACTCGTGGGATGCCTCCGTCCCGTCCCTCTGGAGACACCTGCATGTGCCACGTGCACTTGCTGGAGCCCTGTGTATGGTGCTGCCTGGCTTTTCCACCCCTGAGACTCAAACACGCGAGATTCCCATGCCTGACTCACTGTTCTCCCATGAAGGTGCTGAGTCATACCTGAGGGACACCCGGGAGCCGGGGCACCACGGTTTATTATGTGTTTTTGGCTGGATCATGTGTAGATCTCATGAGGGCAGATGGAGAATGCACACACACGGCCACGCGAGGCTTGTATACACTCAGCGCCACTAACCAGGTCCTGGCGGTTTGGTTGTGCAGGGTCCAGATGGGGGGTGCAGCACGTTGCATCTGTGGAGTGGGCACCCAGCCCCCTTGGGCTGCAGTGCACACCTCGGGCAGGACAAGGAGCAGGAGGAGGAAGGGAGGCTCTTCCCAGCAAACTTTGCAGGAGGGGCGTGGCATGGGGCGGGACCTGCGTCTGACCTCCCCACCTTGTCTCAGCTACGCCGGGACCTCCATCAGAGCCAGTCTCACCTTCAACCGCAGCTTCCAGGCCGGGAGGAGCATGCGTCGCAAACTCTTTGGGGTCTTGAGGCTGAAGTGTCACAGCCTCTTTCTGGATTTGCAGGTGAGCAGGCTGACAGCAGAGTTCAGAGTTCGGGAGGCATGTGTGTTACTGCGTGCACAAGTGTACTGCGTGCACATACGTGTGGCGTGCCTGCAAGTCTGAAGGTGAAAGTGTGGCTGCACATGAGTGCACATGAGCATGTGCACATGAACACGTGGGAGCATGTGCGAGTGCAGATGTGAGCATGCACATGCGGATACATACCTGATGTGCGTTTGCGTACATGTAGTGTCCCTGCAAATCTGAAGGTGAAGGTGTGGCTGCACATATGAGTGCACATATGCGTGTGTGTGTGTGTGTACGTGAATGCATGGCGGCATGTGCACGGGTGTGCAAGGTTGCTGCATGTACGTGTGCAGTCATGCATGCATTCATGTTAGGTGCATATGTGCGTGTGTGTGCAGTAGCAGGCATGCACATATGTGTATCGAGGGCCCCTCATGTTCACCCTGCTTGGTCCTCAGCACCAGCGCCCCTCCTGAGACGGGTCCCAGGTCTCGGTGGGCTGAGGCTCAGAAGCTGCGGCCCTGAGGGCGTGGTCCCATCTGGGCGTTTGCATCCACTCCCTCCCTCCTGGGTTCTTCCCGTCCTGGCCGATCCTCGGGCAGGCAGACGCCAGAGTTCTGACCACCCCCCCATGCCCCCTTCCCGCCTCACCCCTCAGCATGGTTCACAGCTGCCCGGTGAGGGCCAGGCCGGATTTCACTGGGAAGAGGGATAGTTTCTTATCAAAATGATCCTCTTTCTTATTCCATTTGAATGGATGATAAAGCAAGAAGTAGGAACTTAAAATCCCAGAGAGGTGTCTGCCGTTTCTCACTCTTTCTTGGTGACTCTAGGTGAACAGCCTCCAGACGGTGTGCACCAACATCTACAAGACCTTCCTACTGCAGGCTTACAGGTGAGCCACCACAAGAGGGGCGCGGGCCCAACCTCCAGGGACCCTCCCCGCTCTGCTCACCTCTGATCGGTGGCTTCACCTGGGAACTCCCGGGTTTTAGGGGTAAGGAGTGTCACGTTTTCAGCAGTGCTGCCCCCTGGCATGGTTCTGTGTCCACATGGCTTTGTGTGAAGTGCCCATTCGGTCTCCAGGTAGCGGTAGGAGCTGATGGGGCCCCAGGTGTCCCTCCTGTGCCTGTGCACTGCCCATGAGACCCTGTGGAGGCCATCCTAGGCAGGAGGGGCGTGGGGTAAAGACATGTTGACGGGGTGTCTTAGAGGAGGCCAGGAAGGCGTCTGAACAGTAGCTGGGAGATCAGATGCTGGGAGGCTTCGGAGTGTCAGAGGGCAGGGGCCTGAGATGGGTGCAGATGAGGGTCGCCGGTCCCGCCCCAGGAAGGTGCAGCAGAGCGTGGCTCCCCACACAGCCCGGCCAGCTCCTGTGCTCTGGGCATGGCTGTGGTCCTGGAACGTTCCTTGTCCTGGCTGGTCCAGGCCCCCCACCAAGAATCAACGACTTTATCACAGAGAGAAGGGCCAATGTGTGGAGACCACAGGGCCGGCTTCTGCCTGGAGTCAGGGCAGGTGGCAGGAGCCTCTGGGCAGCACCAAAGGGCAGTCAGGCACCACAGGCCTCCTGAGCCACTGGGAGCCGACTGCCAGGATGCCAAAGCCCCACTCCATGAGGGCTCCTCTCCCAGGCTGCCCCTCCTCCCCCGGGCCGCCCCTTCTCCCCCGGGCCACGCCTCCTCCCCTGGCTGCCCCTCCTCCCCCGGGCCACGCCTCCTCCCCTGGCCGCCCCTCCTCCCCCGGGCCACGCCTCCTCCCCTGGCTGCCCCTCCTCCCCATGGCCACGCCTCCTCCCCTGGCCGCCCCTCCTCCCCATGGCCACGCCTCCTCCCCTGGGCCACGCCTTCTCTCTCAGGCTGCCTTATTTCTGTCTTCTCTCTCCCCTTGGGATCCTCCCTTGTCTGCTTCTACAGGGCAGGTGCCTGGGCCCTCATGCAAGCTGCCTGACTCCGTTCTGGAAACTCTCAGAGTGTCCATGTCAGTGTGCTGGATATAGGCGCCACTGAGGACTGCAGACATCTGGCCCTTTGATGGACCCCACGGTCCAGCTGGCGTGCTAGGGCCCTCCTTGGGCTGTGCGGAGGTCAGAGGAGGCTTCCCAGGCATGGCCATGTGGCCTTCTGGGCCAGCCCCTGGGTCCCTGGGAGCCACTGCCCCCCGCTCCTCCTGTCCTCAGCTCAGCTTTTTCCTCATTTCCCCACTGGGGTCACTGGTCCAGGAGCTTCCGTACAGTGACTGGCTCAGGGCAGGGATGCTGGGTTCTCCCACGTGGGGCCTGGGGTAGTCACTTGATTAGGGAAGCCCTGAGAAGACTGAGGTGTGATGGGCCATGGCCGCTTCGAAACACAGAGAGTCAAGCACTTGGGAGGCCCAGGAACCCCGTTCCCTTGACGCAGGAGTGGGAGAACGGAGAGCCGGGCCCTGATCTCACAGCAGTCAGGCTGCGGCAGGCGAGGCTGTGGCGGTCGGGTGGTGCCACGGGCGGGGGACTCGAATCCGCCGGGCTCGGCCTTCCCAGCCATGCTGGCTGCACCCCTACATGGGCCGGAGATGGATGCCTCGGCCTCTAGCAGGCGGCTGTTTCTCCCTTTGGAAGAGAGCCCCTGGCCACACAAGGCATTCCCCTCCTGGGTCAGGAGCATGGCCTCGTGCTGACCCTGGACCTCAGGCAAAAGCATTCTGGGCTGGCTTCTCTCGTTGCTACATGGGGAGACTTCCCAGCTCAGTAGAGTTACTGAGCGGCTGAGACCAGAGTGCTGGCTTGACTGGTGTGATCTCAGGTTATTCCAGAAGGGGTTCAGGCAGTGAGACCAGGTTTGCAGGTGCCCTGATCACACGCATGTATGTGCCTGTGCACAGGTGCCCTGATCACACATATGAGCACCTGTGCATGGTGTCCTGATCACACGCGCGTATGAACACTGTGTACAGGCACCCTGATTACACGCATGTATGAACACCTGTGCACAGGTACATTGATCACAGGCGCATATGAGCATCTGCACAGGTGTCCTGATCACACACATGTATGAACACCTGTGCACAGGCACATACGAGCATCTGTGCACGGGTGTCCTGATCACACACATGTATGAGCATCTGTGCACGGGTGTCCTGATCACACACGTCTGAACACCTGTGCACAGGCACCTTGATCACAGGCACGTATGAGCATCTGTGCACAGGTGTCCTGATCACACACATGTATGAGCTAGTGCACAGGCACCCTGATCACACATAAGACACCTTGCCCAGTGCCCTGGTCACACGTACATATGAACACATGCACATGTGTGTATGAGCACATGGGGTCTTGCGCTGTCTCGCAGTGAGCGGGTCAATGCAGTCCTGCCCCAAAGTCCCAGGAAGCTGAGAGCCCAAAGAAGGAGCTGACAGGCCCGGTGCAGTGGCTCACACCTGTAGTCCCAACACTTTGGGAGGCCAAGGCGAGAGGATGGCTTGAGACCAGCCTGGGCCACATAGGAAGACCCCATCTCTATGACAAAGAATAAAAGCTAGCTGAGTGTGGCGCTGTGCACCTGTAGTTCCAGCTACTTGGGAGCCTGCCGTGGGAGGATTGCTTGAGCGCAGGAGGTAGAGGTGTAGTGACCTGAGATCACACCACTGTATTCTAACCTGAGTGACAGTGACACCCTGTCTTAGCCACAGCAAAAAAGACGGACAAATGCAGTTTCTTGGAAAGATACGTGTAGTAGGGACTTCACCTACACGCAGAAGCCAAGTCTGTGTCCCAGTGGCCCTGAGACGAGGTGCTGGGTCCTGCGCCGTCAGCCCAGACCCAGGGCCGACGCAGCAGCGAGGCGGGCGGCTCAGCAGGGAGGCGCAGGTCATCGATTACGACGACATGGAGGTTGTGTGACTGAGGGCCGGTGTACAGTGAGTGCCTGCTGGTACACAGGAAACGACTGATAAACTGGAAGTCTTGGAGGCCTACCGGAACAGGGCTTAATCAGAAGCATGGCAGGTTGGCATCCAGCATGGAGCTGATTCAGCCTCCATAGGTGTATGCATTCATACAGATGGCACACAGAAACGTACAGTGTACCTGTGCGTGCACTTGGACAGGCAGGTACCTGCACACAACATGCACGCGTGCATCCATGTGTGTGTACCTGTGCCCTCAGGGAAACCCATGCCCGTGGCTGAATTCATGCACACACACACCTCTGCACATGTGCACCGCCGTGCCCACGTCCACACCCCTGGACACCGTCTTGTTAGGTGGCCTGTCCTCTGATGCTGTCTGCGCCCCTCAAGTTCCACGTGTGTCCACGCCCACACCCTGGGCACTGTCTCGTCAGGAGGCCTGTCCTCTGATGCTGTCCACCATCCCGCAGGTTCCATGCGTGTGTGCTCCAGCTCCCATTTCAGCAGCAAGTGTGGAAGAACCCCGCGTTCTTTCTGCGCGTTATCTCTGACATGGGCTCCCTCTGCTACTCCATTCTGAAAGCCAAGAACGCAGGTATGCAGTGTGCAGCTTCCGTGGCAGCAGGGCCTGCCTGCTGCTGTTGGCGTGTCAGGAGACTGAGTGAATCAGGCTTAGGAGATTCTCACCCCTTTTTACATTGAGAAGTGGTTTCGCCACCGGCAGGCCCGTCTCCTGCCCTCTCATGGGATGTGCAGAGCACCTGATGGAAGGGATGGGAGCTGCCATCCTTCCCACCTCATTCTGCCTGGGGAAGTCCTGGGGGGCCTGGCCCCTCCCATTTCCTCTGTGGTGGGATTCGGGGGGCCTGACCCCTCCTGTTTGCTGCGTGGTGGGATTCGGGGGGCCTGACCCCTCCTGTTTGCTGCGTGGTGGGATTCAGCAGGCCTGGCCTCTTATTTCTGCCCCGTGGTGGGATTCGGGGGGCCTGGCCCCTCTGTTTGCCCCGTGGCAGGATTGGGCTGCCTCCTGTCCGTGGCGCTTAGGGCTCCTGTGCAAACCCAGGCCGAGGGCTTCGGAGGAGGCCAGGCCCAGCCCCGCCGCCCATCTCAGGAGCAGAGGCCGAGCATCCCCGTCACGGAGCTGCAGGTGCGCTCTGCCTCCAGACACTTTGTCCAGTGTCAGGGAGTTTTCGGATCCATCTGAAATTCAGGCCACATCAAACCTGCGGTCCTGAGTTCGACAGCTTCTACTTGCTGTTCTTTCTGTCTTGTGGAAATTTCACTTGGAGAAACTGAATCAACTTTTCAGCTGTGACTCCTGCGGCACTTGGGCCAGGGCGGCTGGCGATGGAGCCGCCCGCGCCCCCCGGACTGTCGGGGTGGGCAGCATTTTGGTGTCTCCCAGGAGGGGAGCTGGGCCGGGCCTGTGGACACCTCGGCCTCTGTGTGCCTTCCAGGGACGTCACTGGGGGCCAAGGGCGCAGCCGGCCCGCTGCCCTCTGAGGCTGTGCACTGGCTGTGCCGCCGAGCCTTCCTGCTGAAGCTGAGTCGACACCGTGTCACCTACGCGCCGCTCCTGGGGTCGCTCAGGACAGGCAAGTGTGGGCGAGGCCGGTGCGGGTACCCCCAGGCTCATCCTCAAATGCTGCCCGCGGCACGGGTGGCCTCGGATGCTGCCCAAGTGCGGGTGTCCCCCGGCCTGACCTCAGTCCCATGTGACTCAATGCAGGCGTCCCCAGGCCTGGAGCCTGGCAGGGTCTGCGACTTCCCAAAACCCTGCCTCCCATCTCTGGGGCGATGCCTTCCCACCCTCGGGAGCCTTCTGACCCCTGAGCTGTGTCCTCTCACGGCCTCTGCCCTGGCTGCTGTCCTGATGCCCACATGCGGTCCTGGGCTCCTTGGGTCTTTCTTACGTTCTCTCCTGCCGCACCGCTCCAGCATCACCCAGCTGCCTGGCAGTCTGCTTGCCCTGGTGGGGGGGGTGTCCGTTCCTTCACTAGGGCTCCCACCAGCCAGGGCGACACGGTGCTGGGGCCCCGCCTGCCCGGCTGTCCGCACGTCCCAGGAGGGCTGGGGGATGTCCCCTCTGGCCTCTCCTGGAACGGAGTCTGACTTTGGCCCCGCAGCCCAGTCGCAGCTGAGTCGGAAGCTCCTGGGGACGACGCTGGCTGCCTTGGAGGCTGTCACCAGCCCGGCGCTGCCCTCCGACTTCAAGACCATCCTGGACTGATGGCCGCCCACCCACAGCCAGGCCGAGGGAGGGCACCGGCAGCCCTGTCATGCCAGCCTCTACGTCTGAGGGAGGGAGGGGCAGCCCATACCCAGGCCAATGCCGCTGGGCCAGCCCCTCAGGTCCCTGGGTTGTATGGTGCAAGGGGGACACCAAAGCGCTCCTTCCTATATGGGGGTTCCCTCCCTGGTGCCTCCAGGAGCAGAGCCTGCCCACTGAGACCCTCTCATTGCAGGTGGGGGTGGTCCATCCTTCAGCTGCCCCCCTTCGGGGGGAGACAGGCTGGAGAAACAGGTGGTGGGTGCTGAGCTTGTCTGCACATAGCCTGAGGACCATCCTAGTCTGGGGACCTTTCTCACGTCCCCAAAACAGGGGCTCTTGGGAGGCCCTCATTCCTCTGCACCCAGCCAGGCTGCAGCAGCCGGGAGCCTCTGGACCCGGGGTGCTGTCCTGGGTGAGGCATCCTCCTGCTGACCCGCAGCCACCATCACCCAAACCCCATCCAAAGTCCACTCCTGACAGGGCTTTCCCTGAAAGCAAATGGCCGAGTCAGGCGGTTAAAGCCACGTCCTTGCGTGCCCTGTGCCACCCCTGTGTCCCCATGCTGGGCCCCTAGCCCTGAGCATCTGGCCGAGGCCTAAGTGTCCGGTGCACCCGCTGTTCTCACTCACCTGAGGCTGGCACTTGTCTCCATCCAGGGCCAGCTCCTCCTCTCTGGGGGCCCGGCTTCTGCTCCCCACACAAACAGTCCCTTACCCTGACCTCTGACCTCCACCCCGCCATCCAGGTGGAGACCCTGAGAAGGACCCTGGGAGCTCTGGGAACTCGGGTGACCAAGGATGTACCCTGCACCTGGATGGGGGGCGCCCTGTGGGTCACACTGGGGGGCTGTGGGAGTAAAATACTGAATCTGTGATTTTCTTTCAGTTTTGAAAAAAGTTTAATGTTTGAATCCTAATGCGCACTGCATAGACACCACTGTATGCATTTACAGAAGCGTCTGTGTGAATGGGGTGATGGTCAGTGCAGACTCATGGCCTTGCTGGGCCTGGGAGGTTTCTGATGCTGTGAGGCAGGAGGGGAAGGAGGGTGGTGGGGTAGACAGTGGAGCCCCCACCCTGGAATAGGGAGCAGTAAGTCCAGACCTGAAGGGCAGCAGGGATGACGGGGGGCCCAGTCGGGGCAGCGGGAATCATGGGGCCCAGTTAGGGGGTGGGGAGGATGATGGAGAAGCCTAGCTGGGTGCCCTCCTCCCCCACCGGCCTGCAGCCCTGGATCCGGACATGCTTCCCTGGGGCACACCCTCGGGGCCATCAGCATTCAAGGAGGCAGGGGCATGATGCCCTCCTTTATAAAATCCGGGCTTCCTCCTCCTGAGCCCCCCAACTCAGGTTGAAATTCACATTCCCCCTCTGGCCGTTCTCTTCGGAGTGGACCAGGTGACTGTCTCTGAAGGGCTGGTAGTGGGGCCGTGGAGGGTGTGGACCCGAGGCTTCCGGGTGGGGCTGGTGATGAGCCCTCGTCCTCTGCCTGCCAGACTCCTATCTCCCCGGGCGGGTGCCAGGCATGCAGTGGTGCTGGACACGTCCTTCAACAGACAGAAGGAACTGGAAGGATTGCGGAGAACAGGAAGGGCGGTTCAGAGGGATATGGTCTTGGGGGGGAAGAAACAGCCTGTCCTCAGAAGTCAGCTTGGGCTGCGTGATGCGGAGGCCCTGTGTAAGCGACTCCGGAGCCTTCCGGCAGGTCCGGGTGGGGCCTTACCATGTGGCCGTGGCCTTCTGAGTGCACCTTGGACAGGGCTTCTGGTGTGAGCACAGCCCAAATGTGCCTGGTGTCGGGGTGGGGGCTCATGGCCGCTGGATATAGCTTCGTTTATTACAGCTGCTTCGGGGAATGTCCGTGACCGAGCCTAATGTGTTTATGGTGGGCCCAAGTCCACGGAGCGTGTCATAAACGCACACTGGCGCCTGGAGCCCCTGAATAGGAGCCTGAGGAAGGAGGGGCCCTTGGCAGCCGGAAGGGAGTGGCCCCGGGCCCTGTGGGCTGCTGACCTCAGTGGGAGGCTGGATGGAACAGGGCGGGGCCTCCCAGGAGCAGAGGCCGCTGCTCCGCACACCTGGGCTTGAATCACAGCCCGCAGGTGAGGCCGCTGTTCAGCTCTGTCCTCTGCGAAGCACCACGATCCCTTTCTCCAGGTGCTTTTTGTTGACATTTCCCTCAGGATCACGTGTATTTTTGCTAAAGTATTGGACTCTTGAAAAAGGTCTTTGCTTTGCTATGGCTTAACTCACTAAGCACCCACTTTTTGACTTGTCTTTTCTTATTAGAGATGGATCCACTCTGTCGCCCAGGTTGTGGTGCCATGGCACGATCTTGGCTCGCTGCAGCCACAAACTCCCAGGCTCAAGTGACCCTCCCGCCTCAGCTTGCCAAAGCGCTGGGGTTACAGGTGCGAGCCACTGCCCTTACCTGGCACTTTTAAAAACCACTGTGTGGGCTGGGCGCAGTGGCTCATGCCTGTAATCCCAGCTCTTTGGGAGGCCGAGTTGGGCAGATTGCCTGAGCTCAGGAGTTCAGGACCAGCCTGGGCAACACGGTGAAACCCCATCTCTACGAAAATACAAAAAACTAGCCGGGCGTGGCGGCATGCGCCTGTAGTCCTAGCTACTCAGGAGGCTGAGGCAGGAGAATTGCAAGAACCTGGGATGCAGAGGCTACAGTGAGCCAAGATTGTGTCACTGCATTCCAGCCTGGGCAACAGAGCGAGACTCTATCTCAAAAAGAAAAAAAAAAAAAAAAGCACTGTGTAAGGTCGGGCGTGGGGGCTTGATGACACCTGTCATCCCAGTAGTTTGGAAAACTGAGGCAGAAGGATTATCTGAAGCCAGGAGTTTGAGACCAGCATGGGTAACATCGGGAGACCCCATCTCCACAAAAAATTAGCCCAGTGTGGTGTCCAGCAGCTGTAGTCCCGGCTGCCTGGGAGGCTGAGGTGGGAGGATCACTTGAGCCCATGAGGTTGTGCCTGCACTGAGCTGTGATTGTGCCATTTCACTCCAGCCTGAGTGACAGAGCGAGACCCTGTCTGAAAAAAAAGAGAGAAGCTCGCTGTGTAGGCTGTTAGATCTCAGGGCAAAAAGAAAAGAAAAAGCCCAGCTCTTCGGACTTCCTTAGGCCTGAACTTCGTCTAAAGCAGCTTCCTTCCACAGACAAATGTGTATGCAGCAAGTGGTTCAAAGCAGTGAGGAGAAGCAGGCAGGGTGGGGGCTGTGTGTGACACCAGCCAGGCCCCCCAAAAGGGAGCAGTGTTTTCCTGCGCCAGCCCCACGCTCCTGCCGGTCCTGCACCCGCTGCCGTTACCCTCCGTGTGGTTGGTGCCAGGTGCACCCCTGGGAAGGATGCTGTGGTGCAGGGGGCTTCCCTAACCTTGGTGGGTTTCAGAAGCCCCGGGCACTTAGGCAGAATAACGGCCCCTCCCCAAAGATGCCCAGGTCCTTCTCCTGGGACCTGCGACTGTGCCATCTGCATGGCAGAGGCAGGTGGAGGTTGCAGGTGGGATTACAGCTACCAGTCACCCAGTCTTAAGGTCATCCTGGATTATCTGGTGGGCCTGATAGGACCACAAGGGTCCCTAGAAGTGGAAGAGGGAGGCAGGGGAGAGTCGGAGATGGGACGTGAGGAAGACCACTGGCCACTGCCGGCTTTGAGATGGAGTCAGGGGCCGCAGCCAAGGAATGGGGGTGGCCGCTCCAAGCTGGAAAAGCAGCCAGTCCTTCCCCATCCTGAGGGCACACAGCCTTGCCAACGCCTTGATTTCAGGCCAGTGGGACCCATTTCAGCCTTCCAGCCTCCAGAGCTGTAAGATGATGCGTTTGTGTTAAGCTGCTAAGCTCCAGTGATTTGTTACGGCAGCAAATGGAGCACCAGTGCAGGGCAATGATTACAGGGACGGTTCTCAGAATGAGACCCTCAGCCTACCCCTGGGCAGCACGTGGGATAGCTCAGGTGCAGCTGCTGCTGAGAGGGAGAGGAATGGAGAGAGCAGGGCTTCCTGCCTTCCTGCGTGCTGGCCACCTGGGCTCATGAAACACGCCTGCTGGGGCAGCAGAGCTTCCGTGCCTGTCCAGCTCCAATGGCCGACGCTGCTGCTGGGATCCTCACACTGACGGGCAGGGATGGAGCCTCTTCACCCTGGACCCAGGTATGGCCAGGGCCCCATGCAAGTGCAGGTCACCCAGGTTTGTGGAGCTTGACGGGGTTTGCTGTGGCCGGCAGGAGGGTCGGACTGGTCTCCACAGTGCCATCTAGATGCACAGGTTCCATCATCCATTCTCTGTAGCTCTGGAGGGCGAGCATCAATCAATACGGGCCTGGGCCTCACCTTAGCCTCAGGCGAGCATGAAAGAATCAAGCCTTGCGGGAGGGGAGCTGGCTGGGTTTCTCCTCTCTGATGTGGCATGAAGCCCTGGACTTGCCACCTGGAGTTCAGCATTCCCAGCCCCCAGTGTGGACAGGAGACTCACGTTCCCTGGCCGTGACAGTGGGGTCCTCTCTCCGGTCCCAAGCCCATCCTTGGTGGGAGGGGTTGCTTCCCTTGGAGCAGGGCGGGCAAGTCCTGGGGCAGCTCCAGTGCAGACTGCACCCGCTGTGACCTCCCGCCTCACGGCTCCTTCTGCCTTTACATCCTTCACACGTTCTTCCCTGGTTCATGTTGACCTCAGACTCTTCCCCTGCGAATGAGCCCCATCAGGCTTTTGTAAACTGGGCCTGAACCTCCTTTTCCCATCAAATGCTCCCTGACTCAGTGCCTGGCAAAGCAGCCCTGGGTTCACCTTGTGCCAGGAGCCAGCTCATGGGACAGCCTGCTCTTATGCGGCTGCCACGGTCACAGGGTCTGTGACCATCTCTGGGGTTGGCTGGCCTCATTTGCAGTTGGCTTTATTTCCAATTCAACATGGCTGCCCCTGAGAAGGGGAGCACTCCTATGGGGTGGCAGGTCCTCCATTCCAGGAACTTCTGGTCGGGTGATAGGAGTATTTTGTTCCTGTCCTGACACCGGTGTCTGAGGGACTGCCTCTGGGATGTTTTTCCCAAGGGTGAGGGACAAGGTTGAAGGCGCCATGGGCGAGTGGTGGCCACACAGGGTTAGCTCACCCAGCTCTGCTCTCACCACCTGACCCTTGTCGCCCCACCCAGATGGTGCTTGGGCCCCTCCCCAGGCCATGAGGCCTGAGCCCCTGGCCCTGAACACCCTTGGCAGTGTGATGGGGCAGATGCCCCTCTGCCTCCCTTTGGGACATCCATCTGTCTACTCACTATCCACCTACGGGCCACCTCTGTCTGTCCTTTCTACCCATTCTTATCCATGGCTGCCTCAAGCACTGGGCAGAGTGGCATTTTCTGGAGGGCTGAGGGTCCACTGTGTCCTCTGTCCCAGCCCCCCACCCCTTCCCTTTTCAGCAGCTGGACAAGGACTCCAAGGCTTCAGGGACGGGCTACAGATGCTGCTGCCTCCAGCACCCCCTACACAGAGTGCTGTGCAGAGCCCCAGTCCCTGTTAGGATGTGCTACACCCAAAAGTCTGATTTGGGATGGGAGCAGGGGGCAGCGGCCCCACCCTGGCTATTTTCTGAGTATGATAATGATGCGAAATGTGCC